GGCAAAAAAACCATGCCACGTTCAAAGTCACTTAAATGCACTTTCTTCCCGATTCTGATGCTTGGTTTGAACTGCAGCAGATCGCCTTGACCATGTCTACATGCATAAATGCATTAAGAGTTGCTGCCATGTGATTGGCTGATTAGAAATATGCATTAACAAGCAGTTGGACAGGTGTACCTAATAAAGTGGCCGGTCAGTGTAGTTTTATTCAGTTGGCACCCAGTTCCTTCTAGTTTATTGGTTTAGTGCTGTAGTACAGCTGCTTGAAACCACAATCTGCCTCAGTGACTCAGCAAATTATAACACAACCTTAGACTGTTTTGCAGGTTCAGCAGTTCACACAAAACACCTTCATAATCATATACTTACAGGCCTTTGTTTGTAATTCACTCTAAATGCAACTTTATCAATCTTTCACATTGTTTAGTTGTATTAGAGTGTCTAGCTATATAAAACGAGTCATATTATGATCAAACTCCTGTTATATATGATCAAGATGAAGTATATGTGCAAATGACCCTGACATTAGTGTCATTTAAGTTAGATGACATCAGCAAATTGCAACTAACTGTAAAGGCCATTCTCGGACTACTGGGAAACAGCAAAGGAGATAACAGACGGGCTGATCTGAAATAAACTGTGGTTGTTTCTGCAACACACACACACAGAGAGACCACATAAACACTACTCTCTACCCATGCACTTGGCACTAGGTGTATTTTTATGAAGATTTTGATGATAAGTGACCTTTATAATTAACACTGGTGACACATATAGAGAAAACAGTTGTCGCTTATATTCTACTTGAACTAAACATCAAATGAACAACACCAAAAAAAAAAATTGTCAAGCAAGTTTTGAATATAATATATCACTCAACACTACCATTTCTTTAAATCAAAAGATGAGTGTGTTGTGCTAGGGAAGAAAGCCTACGTTTAAGAACTATGTACACTTATCACCATAGTGATGATATTTTTAATCATGCTGCATATTTAGGCAAGTACATTTATTATGCAATACACTATAAACCAGAGGGTCTGACAGCAACACTTCTTACAGGCAGTGGACACCTATGTTTAGATCTGACACTTAAGAGGTTGATCTATCACTGCGTCAGCTAGCTTGAGTTACCAAGCTGAAGGACCACGGTCATTCAAACTGCATGTACAACCTCAAAATACATGATATGAAAATAAATGTTGTTGTTTGTTTGTTCATATATGCACAGCATACTCAAATATGCAAATATCTCAGGCCGCCAACACCACATCTTTGTTTTGATGACTATACTTATGTTTAGTCTCTTATACTTTATGTAAGATACAAACATAAAATACAGCTATCTTTATGGGGATTTTTCATGTAATGATTTTTATACACTACAGACTTTATATTATATAACCGTAACCTAATTCAAAATACTTTATTCTGTTTAATTTATGAGCCGTTTTCCTCATGGGGAATAAAAAATGAAACCACAGGGTCAAAATCTACTGGTTTTGCTATACTTTTGGTCTGTACAACAAGAGGAATACAAGGTAGACACATATACTAATATATGTGGTTTACGAGGACACTCCACTGGTGTAATGTAAATTATACTGCAAATATGATCAAATGAACAAATAAATAATACAATACTGCTCATCATATGGCCTTGCACTATACCCTTAACCTCAACAGGAAACCTGTGGCAAAATTTGAATGTCAAAGTCCTGTTAAGTATGATATTTAAGCATTTGAATTATGAGGACACAATGCATGTCCTTGTAAACCACCCTAATAGAGAACAACTAGGTCATACCGTGTCGTTATACATTATTGTGTCTTCATAAACAAGTATACTGTTTTTCTCTCCTGGCAAAAGTCAATATTCAGTGCACCCTTTCTTTGGGACATTGTTAAACTTTTTTGAGAAGACTATTCTGAGGTATGCAGATCCTGTTCTCTATAAATGCAGATTTATTTATTAATATTTTGTTTGTTTGATTGTCTCTTTGTTTGTTTCTATGTCCAGGTCATATTCAGATTTGGATTTGAGGTTTGTTCATGGCTGTCAGTGTTCTGTCTGCTGCTTTTCTCTCCAAATATGACATCAGAGTTTATTTTATATGTTCACTATGCACTAAAGTGTGTACATAAAACATTTTAAACCATAATTTAATTATCTAAACTGCATCTGCACATAAACATTGGTTTATATTTATAATCAAATAGAAATGTTTATGATTTTATATGCCAATTTCTTTATTTTTAATAACCATACAAACTGCATGTAACCATTATATTTATATACCTTTTATTTGTGGCTGTCAGTGTTTTGTTTGCCGTTTTTCACTCCAAATAGGACATCAGAGTTCATTTTATATGGTCACTATGCACTACAGTATGTACATAAAGTGTTTCAAACCATAATTTGATCATTTAAACTGCATGTGCAAACACATACTGGTTTTTATTTATAATCAAACAGATAAAAAATTATCATCATTATTGTATGCTTATTTCTCTATTGTTAGCAATCCTCCAAACTGCATGTAAATATCATATTTATACACATTTAACTGCTTATCCAATTCAATTTATTTTATTTTATTTTTTTTTTTCTAATATATATCAAGTTGCTTTTAAATGAAACTTACAAATCCTTTATAATGAGACAGTAACATTTATTGGGATCCTTATAGATAAAACATTTTTGTAAGGCTTTTAAACTAATATTTTAATCTATTAAACACTGACATTAACTTATTTACCATGCATATATGCAAATAAAATAATCTTCTCTTGCTTATGGGTCACAACTGATCTAGGTCTGCCACTGTTGCCCATATAAAACTAACGATGTCCTTGATTACAAGCTTGGACTCTGTTTCTTAATGCTCAACAGAGAAAGAGAGAGAGAGAGAGAGAGAGAGAGAAGTGGGCTGGATGGAGGAGAGACACAAAGCCCAGTCCAGACGGAAGTATTCAATTTATTCAGGTCTCAGAACAGCTGTTGCCAAAATAGCTTAGTGATTAAGAGACCGAAGGCTTAAAAGGACAAAATCTTCCAGAGCAGCCAGACCTGCTGGTTACAGTCAACAGACGGCTGGACGGAACAAGCAATATAAACATCTGAGAGGTCATTAGTAATAAACCTGTGAGCATTGTTCATTTCAGTCAGTCATGATGTTTGACCATTTCTGACACTCACCCAGTTTTGTTACAATTTACAACATTTTATAAGTAAATACACAGCTTTACTCTTGAATTTATTAGATTTACTAGTAATTGTAGTAATATCTTGAAAGAATTTAAGTCAATTTAGATTTGGTTGCATGGTCAAAACATCATAAAAAAAATAAAAGCTTGTTTGACAAGGCTTGTCAACCAATTAAACACAAAATTACACATATATAAAAATAATATTGACTTATATAATAGAGGCTGTGAAATCACTTAACTGCCTTACATATGTAGCATCTATGTTCCAAATCAGCTCATTATGCTAATTAAAGTCCATATAAACACACTTACATGTTTACACGAGATCCTATTAGGAATTGAGAAACCAGAATGCAAAAATAAAACTGTATTATTTAGCACATAGTCCATATATGATAGCAAGATAATGTGACAAAGCTGTTTATTTTAGAAAGCAAGAAGTAGGGGTTAGAAAAGAATCTCTTTTATCCTTTTGTTGGTCCATTAATGACCCATTAAGGGGTCAATACAGTCAATACACACACAATACGCAGTTAAGCTTTGAAATGGGATAGGGCTGTTGGGCCCAACTACAGAGAGCACACTTAACTGCTAGGAATGAAAAGACTTGCCACTTTTAGACTTGTGATCTAGAAAGATAGGGTGGAGGTCTGTTTACAGAGCACCGAAGAAGATCCTGAATACACATAGCAAACACCGTTAAACAGTTTAAAAGAATCAAATGACTCCCCCACTAAAGCTCATATTATGGATGCAGAGAGTTTAGTTTTTTCTCCCCACAAAGCCATTTAAAACCACTCTAAGGACCCAAAGCAGGAGCACAAAGCCATTGGATGTGCCATTAAAAGCTCTGAGTAACTTGTTTATTTGAGAGACCGCTCACAGCTGAGGAATTCAGACTTTCACAATCTTTCAAAAACAGCGGATGATCCACAGAGAGCCTTTAAAAAGGAAATAACCTGCTGACTGCTTTCTATCTATCACTTGTTCAGGCACACGTGATGGTTTCATTAAAAGAGCTTACTCAAGAGTGACACAATCTTCCAGACTTGGTGTTACTATTAGCTACAAAAGTAGGCTAATAATCAGAAATGAACCAATCGCCAGTTGCTTAATCCTCTTTCTAAGCACTTTCTGTTCTGTGATGTTTAATTGTTATGCTGATGGGGGAGTATTTTGGTTTTGGTGAGAAATGAGAATCGCCCACCAATCTCTCACAAGACCACTCCCTGAGTTTGTATCTATTGCGAGTGATTATTGAGGTGTAAGTTTATTCATTTTTACTTTTCAGAATATGTAACTTAAATGAAAGTCACAATATCATCATATTTTTATTATTACTATTACTAAGGTTTAGGGAAGGTGGTACATTATTTTCAAACGTATTAGTGCATTAAACTATTGGCATCTCTCACCAAACATTTATTGGTAAACTGTACATCAGTAGGTATATTAACCAATATTAACCAATACTACATGCACACTACTGAAATAGACTATTCACTCACCAGATACTACTAAGATTTGTAATGCAACCAATGTTAAAATGTAGCCAGATTTATGTTAGTCTATCTTAAATAAAACTGAACATGGACCCCCCCAGTTTTTTTTTGGACTATCTATTTATATGATTCATACAATAAGCAACATAAAACAAAAGTCTCATTAATCTTTTTGAAATAAAACTACTAATTCGTACAGCAATCATTGCAATATAACTGCCTGAAACACATTTGCCTAATAAAACAGCTGTGTTTTTAACACCACTGACTGGATATTTCAGTTTTACTGTTGAAATTTGCAAGTGGTACTCACTGCAGAGTCACCCATGTGACTCGGCAGTAAGCCCCCCTCGAAATTTGTACACTTTTAATGACTTTAATGGTATCTTTGACAGAAGGGGTCTATGGGTGGTTATACATGCCTTGTCTGATCTTTCAATCCAATTTAACAACAAAGAGAGGAGCAGCAGCTTTCGTTTCTGCTCTTGTCACCACAGAACTACACTAAACACTGTGCAATCTAAAGAATTCTGGGTTGTTTAACTCAATGTTGGGTCAAACGTGAATAAACCCAACCACTGGGTAAAAATGTGTAATATAAACTGCAATATAATCTGAAAAAAAAATCACTTATGTTTGTCCATATTTGACACAATGACCAAGAATTATTGTTATTTTTTGAGTGTGTTAGGATCACATCTGACATTCCTGCATGTGCTAGTGCACAACAACGTGTCCAGTGATGTTTAAGAATTAGGTCAATGGGCAGAGAGATGGTTTTTGTGGTGTTCAACCATCTGCACTCCTCCAAATGAGCATTTATCCTGTCAAATTTCCACCACTTACTTCTGTATTTAGTGTCTGTGCATTTGTGACTGGATTGATAAAATCACATTTAAACCCCAGGTCTTAACAGTGCCTGAGTTGAGCTTTTCACTGGTATCACTGACATCTAAATAGTTAAAAAAGAAGCAAAGTGAAGTTCAAATGGTCTCTTTTAAGTGTTTTGTTATGCTAATAGCATTGCTGCTAACAAGATTAGTCAGTTAGTTGCGGAAGTGGTGGAGCCAGTCTCCAGAGAGACATCTGTGAGCTTATAGTGTAACCCACTCAATCACACAGCTAATCCACTTAGACATTGATATACAGGTCTGTCCCTTTTCCTAAACTAGGCTAATTCAGTGACATGTCTGTGGTCGACTCTATTTGTGTCTGCACGTGTTAAAGACAAATTAAAAGGGCCAGAATGAATAGAGATGTAAAGAAAACAAATGTACCCTTTTCAACCAAAGGATGTCATCAGCTGGAGGAAACTGAAGGGAGGATATTCATGACTTCCTGATCACTTTGGACCAGCGCTTCCATGTCGGTAAACCACCATTAGTGTCCATCAAGATGAGACAGAGCCTTTGTGAGGACGTCGCTTGTTCCCATGGTGACAATATGTCTCAATCCAGCATGTGTGACATCTGTGTAGACACAGACAGGAAGGAGATTTCTTGGAAATAGAGTCATATTCAGCCTAACAATTCCCTCTCTGTAAATATGGAGAGGAACTGGACTACACTTTTCACTTTCAGATGGTAATATATATAAATATGTTGTGACTCATCCATGGTTACAAAATCAGAGGAATAAATTAAACGAAAACCCCTTAAATATCCATCTGCCTAATTTGGTGTATTTCAAACAATTGCATATGGTGTCTTTTGGGCAGCAGAGGTGCAAGATTGAATACTAAAACGCACCGTGCAGCAGAAATGTTTCCATTTTAAGGAGTGGTTGGTCTCCCACTCAGGCCTCTGATGGTGGAACAGCCCAGGAAACCTCTTTCCACCCACACACGAAACCTCTGACTCAACTTGAAACCATGAGCTTTGTGGAGGCATCCTGCCGACTGCCTGGTGCACCCTGCCTCGGGTTACAGCGTTTGTCACTGCAACCTGCTTACTGTAGGTCATCTGTGAAAGAGTAAACATCCAGTGTAGCAAATAAATAGAACGTCAGCAATAATACAGCCTAAAACGGAAAATAGGTTAGAAATAAAACAACTTGCATTTGCAAAAACTTGTAATTAGGTTGAGATTTCGTATAAACTGTTATTAGTTCACTAAACATGATTGCAGCAAGGAAATTTGAATTGCTTTGAGGAGGTTTAAATGAGTTGCAAGTAAAATTGTAGTTAACATTATGATTGGTTGGGGAGAATTTAACAAACAATGTTTGAGTTATCATTGAAATGTCTGACTTGGTTCGCTCAAATTAGTGTGTTCTTTCAGAATAAACAATAGCTTTGTCTGCATCAAAGCTAGGACCTGCAGAAGGTCACATTTTCACCCGCATATGTCATCAAGAATGTTTAATAGAAATGTACTGCCATTCCTGAGGTGTACATTACAATCATTTCATTTTTACTTTTCAGTGAAACAGCTGATAAAGCGTGCAGCTTTGAAATGAGGCACAGCATATTTTCTTTCCTACAGGGTGCATATTTTTCTGTTTTGTTCCAGATTTATCTACCTGTATGTCGCCATCGGGTCTGATGACATCTAGTACAGATCTTCGCAATAGTATGCACTACTGATGAAGTTCGCAAGAGATGGATTGCAACACAAAGCATGGCGTCTATAAGAAATATTTAGCAGCTGCTATAAACAGAATTTATATATTTTAAAAAGCATGTCAGTCAATCTGTTTTGCACATTTTGAATGTTTACACTGATTAAGAGTTTAAAAGTGTATATTAAATAAATCATAATAAATAATCTGATTAATAGGCTATATTTGCATTTCAACGAGGTCTCAATTTGACATCAATTTAACATCTATTAGCCCATCTTTCCAATGAGGTATATGTTTCTCTTTATCAGACATCTACCTGCATGTCAGCCTGACAAACACTTGATGTGTAACACCACCATTGGTATTGAGTCATACACAGGGGTGGGGCATTAATCTTCACAACGGCTAAAAAAGGACAAACATAACGTTTAAACAGCAACATAACACGGGTTACCCTTTCACGAACACATTACCACATTATTTCCTTCGTTATGTTCCCTAGCTCGCTGTTCAATTTCAATCTATCAACAGCACACGTGTGCACAAAATACTCGGTGCTTTTCCACAGAGTCGAGCTTTTATGGTCAGTTCGGCGTGTTTACTGTTTAAAACCGCCTAAAACCTCTCCATTAAACGCCACGCTTTGTGTTCGCAATCCTCCCCTAGCAAACTTCAACAGTAGTGCATACTATTGCGAAGCTCTGTACTCGATGTCGTCAGACCAGAGGGGGCGGAGTCAGGATGTCGCAATCTTACTAAGAACAGCATCATCGAGTCAGGCTGGTGTAACACACTGAGCATATTAGACGTGCCCAGCCGAATTGAGACTTTACAGTCGGACGTTCAGGCTGAGGGGCCACGTCTGATTTGTGATCTCATCACTAAAGGGACCTTTATTTCGGCATCAATCAAAAAGACCAACTACAGGATTACTTTTCCATTTGTGGCTGTCACCAAAACGGACGCGTCCTCTAGTTATAACTTTCTTCGGACTATTCCTTGTTTGTTTTGTCGTATGGCTAAACTTACAGTTAACTGCGTTTAAGAACGTCGTATCAAGTTTTATTAACCCGAAACTCATCGCGAATGATCTCCAACTCCATCCGACCACAGAGCGACGTTTCACCATCAGCAAGAGCCAGGGAAATATTGTCCATGCAGGACGCGTTCATTCAGCGGGAATAAGGAACAAAGACATCCGTGCCAACAACTGAAGAGCTCTTGGGGTTGCCGCCAGACTCACAAGTATCAATTTGCTCAACTCACAAGACAAAGAAGAAGACATAATAACAACGAAAAGAAGCTAAACGTGCACGAATATCTTGCAAAACGCAGTGAACGTGGATTCTTTACAAATCATCTACTGTATAAGACACCCGCGCGTCCTTTCAAACTGACTCATATTTATTCTCCTTTCACTGGGGACGACTTTTCGGTCTTATGCAAAAAAATCTTATTAACTACAGCTGAAAGTTTTCAAGTGCTCCTTTCATAATACTTAATGTTTTTTTTCCGCCGGTGGAAATGTTCTCTGACAAGTAGACACAACTAAGTGCGCCTGTAGTTTTCATTGTTCTGTTTTGGAGAGGAGCGGGTCCTTTGTCTAAAGCAGCGAGGTAAGTCACTCCTGTGAACCTTCAAACGTCACATTAATAACTGTAAATCACGACTTGGTGCTTCCAACCAAGATTTGAGTCAATTAATGATCAACTTTCCCATTTAAAACATTATTAAGAAAGACTTTGTGTGGTTGAAGATTATATAAAAAAGTAGCGTTGAGCTGAACTTTGTGAACTTGCACTTCACACAATAACATTGAGTCTTTTAAAAGTATTTACACTTATTTGTAATTTGGAGAACAAATATTTGTATGATGTAACCTATTGGTTTACACATAAGCTGATAAATGCTGGCTTTGGAATTTTAGGTTCGAGTCCGACGTGACCTGGTTCAAGTTACATTTGACCTCACACATGCTTTTGTTTACTTAGTGTATTCTTATGAATTCTGACACAATGTATTAATAGCCTACATAAATAAACTTTGTTTAAACAATACTGAAGTGGAAGAAACTTGGCTACGTCATTTTATGACGTACGCTTGAATGTGTAATAACTTAAACACTGTATGAGTCACAGGCGCCGAGCAACATTTCGAACGGATCTTGAGTCAGTATGATCAAGCAGCACTCCTCATCACATAGTCATTCAGCAGTTTTAAATTACCTCCTTTCATTACACAACATTAATGAACCTCCCGTTCTTGTTTAGTTAGTTAGTTTGTTTGAGATAATGTCCCACGGTTACTCAGTGTTCAAGTGTGGTGCAACACTCAAAAGTACTCAGTTTGGCATTTTTTTTCATGTCACCTTTGTGAATGGACTCGTGTTTATTGGTTTCTAAAAAGAATAGTTCACTTAAAAGTCTGAAGTTTGTAATCATTTATTAATATTTCATTGTTTTTATATATGTATGAGCTTATCTCTTGTGTTATATCTTGTATTTTGAAGAAAGATGAAAACCTGTAACCTTCATAGAATTTTTCCTGCTGTGGAAGTCGATGGTTGCATTTGTTCAGCTTTGTTCAAAAATCCTCTTGTTTTTGTTACACAAGAAAGAAACTCAGAAAGATTTGAAGTTACTTAAAGGTGAAAACATTTTTTAAGTTGACTATCTGATTAAGCAAAGGCTTTTCAAATTGGGGTCCAGGAACATTCTGGGCCAACAGGGTGCTTCTTGCTCTGGGCATGTGTTCAGAGCATAAAAGTTGTAAAATAAATAAATAAATATATGAAGAGTTCAGATGCAAAAACCTCTAATTGCCATCTGAATACTAGGATGACAAAAATAAGTTCTTTTCCTGGTCTTTATTGTAAAATAACACAAGCAAAAGAGGCTGAGAAAAAATCATTTTCGACTGAAGTTTCAGACGGCACTTAGAGGTTTTTGCATCTGAAGTCTTCATACATTAGTGTAAAAGAAATGTAAAATATGTATTTCATTTATCTAAATTACATTTGAGTGTCTGTCAACAGGAATAATCACATTTAAGGGTTTCAAACACCTGTTCAATCTTGTTGTCACAAGGTCATGAACTCATCCGTTTCTTTCATTTATTTTGATCACAGATGAGTATGAACCTGTCAACTCCTACACCTCCACTGCGACTGAAGCGAGTTGACTTTGAGGACTCTCACAGCAATGATACCTTCAAATGCAAGCGCCGTAGACTCAGTCAGCCTCCTTCCCCAGGTCTTGCGCCCTGCCTTCGCCCCCTGTCACAAAGCCTTGAACAGCCAGGGTCTGAAAAGCACCACGTCTCCCGGATCGGACCATACATCCTCCTGGAGGCCACAGAAGTAGCTCAAACCTTCAGAGCGGTTCATCAGGTCACAGAACAGGAATACACATGCAAAGTAAGTACAGATGCATTATAAAAGCACACATTTCTAATCACAGTTTTATATAATGAAAATCAATAATGCTGATATTTTGTTATGTCTCCACCAGGTGTTTTCCATGAAGAAGTATCATGAGTTCATTGCGCCCTACACTCGTCTGCTTCCACACAGCAACATCTGCAAGATTTCAGAGGTGGTGTTAGGGGAAAACAACGTGTACATCTTTTTCGAGCGCAATTATGGAGACATGCATTCGTATGTGCGCACCTGCAAGCGGTTGCAGGAGGACGAGGCTGTGCGTCTGTTCACTCAGATGGCATCAGCTGTAGCACACTGTCATGAGAACGGTGTCATTTTACGAGACCTCAAACTACGCAAGTTTGTGTTCACCGATCAGCAGAGGTCAGTAACTGGGTTTAGTTTTTAATTGCTTGTTGTTTAAGTTAAATCAGCTTTTTATCAAGTAAATTAATTTAAAATAAGGATTATATTGTTTTGTTTTTGTGTTGATGACGAATATTAGACATTTTTTTGGTTAATATTGAATCTAAATCGGCGCATGTATAATGGTGCATGATTATTTTCTCTGATTAAAAAATATACTTTTTGTCATGTAATGCTGACTTGACAATATTTTTTTGGGGAAAAGAAAATGTTTAGCAAATCTCAAAAGCAAATCTCCAATTTTCATAGTGTATATTCATAATGCTGTGATGCCTAAATTTATGTAAAACGATTGTTTGTAGTGATTTTAGTTGAATATTTTTACAAATATTGGTCATTCGCTGGTGTTATGAAATGCTAATATTTATAATTACAATAGGTTAAATTTAGTGATCAGCTTGTTTGTATCGAACAACATTGGTTTTGTTTTATTTAGTCATTATGCAGATACATTTATGGTATGTGTTTTGTAATAGTATTAATAATGAATAAATAATAGTAACTTTTAAAGTTAAAAGTTCTAAATTACTCAGTTTTTTTATTTTCTAGATAAATTCTAAAAAATAATGAGCTACTTGCATGCAATTCTCATAAAGCTGTATAAATAAATATTCCAATTATATTAACTTTGTGAACAAAAGTTACAAAAATAACATACAAATATCTAATTACTCAAGATAGTAAAGAACTATGCGGGTAAAATACACTTGAAATTACGCATATTCACTTGCATGACTTGCAAAGGTGTAGCCTTGTCTGTTTCATCTAGCAAACATTTCCCAATCATAAAGGCAGGACCTAGCTATCAGGTGACTGATAGACATCCTTTTGTTTTCTCAGAACAAAGCTGGTCTTGCAAAACCTGGAGGACTCTTGTCTGCTAAACGGAAATGACGACTCGCTGACGGACAAACACGGCTGCCCGGCTTACGTCGGCCCGGAGATCTTAAACTCACGTCACTCATACTCAGGAAAGGCTGCTGACGTTTGGAGCCTCGGCGTGGTTCTTTACACCATGCTTGTAGGACGTTACCCATTTCAGGATGTGGAACCGACAGCACTGTTCAGCAAAATCCGCAGGGGTGCATTCACCGTCCCAGAGACCCTCTCCCCCCGGGCTAAGTCGCTGGTGTACTGCATGTTAAGGAAATGTCCATCAGAGAGGCTGGAGGCCGGAGATATACTTCTCCATCCGTGGCTTCACTGTAATAACAGCACATCTCTTAGTCAGCACTCCAGCTCCAGACACTCCACAGATCAGGTGGTTCCTGATTTCCAACCCAGCCAGACTGAGGACTGTCAGTGAGCTGCTTTCATTATGTTTACCCACAATCAGGCGGGAAAAAGACTCTATGGAAAAGAGAGATTGCCTCATATTAAGTATGCAGAGTTCAAGGGCATCCAATGGAACAGATCCTCAAACATGTGCAGGTTAATAGCAGTGCTGTGTTTCGTTTTTTTACATTTCTGCCCAGCAATGAACTGCTGAGGTGTTCAGGACTGACACTGAGTCTTTATAGAAAGAATTAACTGTGTTTCTTACCTCTGAAACTGGCAATTTCTCCAAGAAAACGACACCCGAAGGGCGAAGTGCTGCTGGTTAAACTCTTTTTCTGGTAGACTTTCATTCACAGCACAGCTTAGAGGCTTGTGCACCATTGAACATCAGTGTTGCTTAATAATCAGTGCATGGATTTTCCATTGTACACCTTTGTTGTGTAAAAAAAAGTACCTCTAACTTAATTCCTGGTATACTTGATGCACAGTTCGTGCCTTTATGTACTGTTTACATATTTTTGCAGTGGAGAAAAACAAACAGATTTGACTATTTAAAGTGCCTTTTTTTCCAGTTGTTGGACTTGTTGAAGTACCAAAGATTTGAGTTGGGTTTTTTTTTTCGTCATCCAAATCTGAGCGTGTGTATCTGCAACGGGTTAGCACAAGTGCTCATTTCCTTTTCATGTGAAGAATACAAAAGGGTTGCTTGTTTGTTTGTTTTTTCCAGCAAATTCTCTTTTGTAAATGTCTTTCCATCTGTTAAACGTATGTATTTAGTGCTGTAGAGCAGGTTTGACCCTGATGGGATGTGAGCACATCATGCAACACAGGAAACGTCCCATGTGATGGTTTAGAGGTGCACCTGTCGTGCGTAAACAAAGGCTTTACATTCGTTCTCGTTTGTGATGCCTGCATGCAATGCTTTGACCCTGTTTTTTTTTTTCATTCAAGTACTTGTCATTTTTCTGTAGATAATTTTTGTTAATAACGAGAAGTGTACACTACATTTGTTGTTGTTTCAAGGGGTGATGTACCTACAAGCGAGTATTTTGTTGTTGCCAGTACAAATAAAATGAAAAATCAGAACTATTGTTTCCTATCAGTGATTTATTACTGGAAGTGGTTTCACTACATTAGGCCTGTCACAATAATCAATATATCGCCTTATCGCACAACACATGGAAATGGGCTCAATATTTTTGTGATACAACATATATCGCCCATCCTGTACATAACAACCAATTCTAGCAACATTCTAGCTGTTTGCACATCCGCTCTATCTCTATTGGACAGTGTCAGCATGGTTAAAAAACACTACAGTATTTACTATAAACTTCTATAGTATATTTTCATGTGGGACAACTGAAAATAGATCTGTTACTGTTAATTCTTTTTACCTTGGACATTTTTGTTAACATTTATTATAAGTTTGTTAATTATTAAATTGTTAAAATGACAACAATTCAATTAAATATTGATAATAGTAGAATATTATGTGTCCTTTGGAAGAGTGTACTTGCTTTATGACGCTATTATAGTGTCAAAATGGTCTTAAAATGACAATATTATTGTTATATATTTTGGTGCAATATATTCTAGAAAAATAAACAGACATCGTGACAGGCCTAGTCCATGTGAATGTTTATTTTGCTAGGGCACATTGTTATTCTTCAGGTAAACAATCTGTACAAGTAAATACACAGAAATTAGTTTTTGCCTTGGTAATCAATCAAATTCAGAGCATTTGATTCCACATTTAGAGTGGTAGTCATTCTCTGTTTATATTTGACAGTTTCAGCCATAATATTCTTAACCATGCCTTGCTTATTGTTAGTTTGCTATGAGAGTAGGATGCACAAAAAAAGCCCCACCCCCTAAGCAATATTCAGTTGGAAGTACATCAACATGCTTAAAAAAAAGTCTCAGCAGATTTTGGTTTGCGCAGAATTTAAGAAACAATTTTAGCCAAAGTGAAAATTTACTACAAAATGCAATACAGCTACTCCTGCTGAACACAAAACAACACATTTCCACAATTGTTTAAAAACTGGAAGACTAGCTGGCTTTCCATCGCCAGCTAGTGATGGACATTATTACACATTTTAAAGTATTCCATGACAAATGAGTGATAAAATTCCAAATTTCAAATGAAAATCCATTAATTCGCAAAATGTTTTCACGCTCATTTGAGACGGTTTCAGACTTTTGCAAAAAAGCGTTAATGCCAATAACTGGATGATTTTTTGCTGAATAAACTCTGACATCGCAAAAATTACACCCAAGTGACTAATCAGATTTCTCCATTATGCGTGACTTGTTTACTGCTGGTTACTAGGTTACCAATACTACAATCGGCTGCTCTAACTTAATGGAAATGCAAACTTTGAAAAGATTAGCTTTGCATTAATATGGAAATGCAGCTACTGACATCCAAAGTAGGAAGAAATTTGAGGTCTATGGCTAACAGTTTCCAACATTCGAAATATTCAACAAAACAAAAAAGTGAGTGAATGGTATGTTTTTGTAAAAAAATGAAAGAGCAAAAATGTTACTGTAAAGAGATGTTGAGACATTTGGTATCACTATAGATCATAGGAACATGAAAAAAAAAACATCTTAGCAACTTAAACAAATTTTTTGCAAGTATAATATAAAACTGACCCTTTTTTTTTTTTTTAGTTTCTGTCACAATTTCACTAAGATTTGACTGTAAAAAGTATTACAAAAGAATGACACCATCCGCTACAAAGCAGAGCTTGCTGAAAGATTTTAAAAAGCCCAATATCTGATTTCAAAATGGTTTTTACAACACAAATTTAGTTCTTTGAATTTTTAAAATTATATTTAAATGAGGACGATTATTAAAACATGTAATACAGACCATTTTAACCATATTAAAGTGCTTGTTTTCAGCACATTTCACAACGCCATTGCTTTCAGTTCCCAGCATGATTGGTTTTGTAATAACAACATATTTTCCGAAACAGAAATTGCAATCAGTGCACATTAGATCAGTAGATATTTATTTGACACAGCATTTTGGAAATAATGAAAAGGCTCATCGAAAGCAAAGTCATAAAAACATGTTAAGCTGCCAAGAAGAAAATGTTTACGTTTCATTAACACACAAATCTGCATCCAATAGGGCTTGTCCTTGCATTTTTTTTATTACCAACATAAATAGGCCCACACTTCACTCTTAGATCTTAAAACAAGCGTAAATCTTGTTCTTATAGTGCCACGACTCTGGAATAGATTGAAATTCTTAACATAGATGAGTCAACAGTCAAACATAAAACTGACTTCAAAACAACTGCGGCCAAATCTTCAAGAATGCCCCAATACATAAGAGTGGACCATATAAAACTAGTGCCCGTCTTGAGCAAATGTGAATCAAGCCACAATAGAGCGACTAAGCAACAGCTCAGACAAACATCTTTAATATCAATCTATACAATGTCAAAGAGGATGTCATAAAATTCAGTAACTGCCACCGACACTCATTCTTAAAGTTATCTAATATCTTTCCACGGTCACCATGTTAGCATATAAACACATCAGCAAAGAATATGAAGAGTTAAATTTGCCAAAGAATTCACCACAAACATATCAAAAAAGCTGAATTCAGGTTAGAGACCACACAAAGCTTTAGGAAAACTGATCTACACAGACCCATCATAGTTTTCCTTGAACATATTTATTAGCTTTGCGGGTGAACCTAACAGAGAAATTGACCCATAAGTCAATGACTCAATAAAGCCACTACTTCATGTTTATGCTGATGTAAGTTGTTTATATAGTTCTTTTTTTTTCCTGAGGCAAGAAAGGTGCAGGAAAATGTGTCAAGGCCTAAAATCAAACATACACTAATCTATTAACTTCGTCAATAATGGGAAAGCTCATCCATACATGACAATTCTGTCATTCTTTAGTCTACTTGTTTCAAACCAGTTTTAGTTTGTTTCTCTTTGAACACAAAAGAGAATATTTTGAAGAATGTTGGAAAATGGTACCTATTGACTTCCAATGTAATTATTTTCTACTATCAATGCCCATAGCTATTCGTTTCCGACATCAAAATACTCTCTTTTGTATTCAACAGAAATCAAACAAACATGAATATTTGGAATTTTTGAAGGTAAGAAAATAATTTTTGTGTGTGAACTATGGAGCCAGATCAGTCTCAGAAATAATACACTTACAAACTAAAACTCATACATGCACAGCACATTCACATTTACCAAATACAATTAGTAAATTTAAAACAGTTCATAAATACATCAAACAATTCCTGAATTCAGTTTGTGAAATCATAAATATTTTTGTCAGATAAACTAGATTTGGGCATTTATGAATCGTGTTTTTAACTTACGAATTGGATATGTACTGTTAAATTGTTTTTTGAATTTACGAACTGGATTTAGGTATTTATGAATCATGTTTTGAATTTGTGAATTGGATTTTTGTATTTATAAATCATGTTTTGGACATGAGCATTGGATTGCTGTATGGTTAAATTGTGTTTTGAATTTACAAATATTTGTGTATTTATGAATTGTGCTTTGAATTTGCGAATTGGATATGTGTACTTATGAAAATTGTTTTGAATTTACAACTTTGACTTGTGTATTCATGAATCGTGTTTTTAACTTATGAATTGGATTTTGTAAATGTGAATCATGTTGTGGATATAGGAGTTATATTTTGTAAATGTATTATATTTGAGACTGATCTGGCTCCACAGTGAACTATCATTATAATAAAGGGAGAAAGGTGTAGGCTTAAAAACACGAAAATGCAAATAAAATGAGTGAATGTGACGTCATATAATTCAATAAAATACTCAAAATGCTTTAAAGACGTTTAAAAAAACAGATCAGTGTAGAGTACACAGCAATGGGAGAAAACAAAATGTTAAAAGACGCCACCTAGTGGAAATACTGCTGTAACCTTTATGAGGCCATAAAACCAGTAAAATTATGAGCATGAATAAATAAATGGTTCAAAAAAGCTTTGAAATAAAACCTAAACTGCATAGAAACACTTAAAGACAAATTTTAAAAGACCTCTTTGGAAATAAAATAAAAAACACAAAGTATTACAACATATCAAGCTTCAGACAAATGTCAGAGGAAAAAAAGTATTGAATGTAATGAAAAGTAACACACAAAAAAGTAAAAAAAAAAAAAGTTTGTTGGAGTGCACTTGAAAATCTCTTCAATACAACATTTATCAGGTTAAAAACAAACAAACAAACAAAAACATAAGAAACAGAGTAGGAGGACAGGCATTAAAACTCAGGCAAGAGTTTGCTGGCTTCAGAGGACAGTGAGAGATGAGGGCTTCATCAGGCACACAGAGCACCATACCTGCGGGAACATCCATTAATCAGCACATTTACATGCATATACATATGCTTCTCAGAACTCACTAAATGTTTTTGAAATAACCAATTGACCAACTCAGTTAACCAATAACCCAGCAAGTAAGCCTCAATTGCAAGACGTTATTAAATCGGTTTATTTCAGTGACGCCAAAATGCAGTAGGATGTGCTTCTAACTCCAAGTATTTAATATGCTATGTCAGGAATAATCAATAAATCATTAAATACCAAAGAAGAGTATTGCTCAAAGTCAGCAACAGAAACTTATGGCTAGGGCCAGACAGAATCTGCGGATATTTTTTGCTATTTCTGCTCTGTATTTTGTAAAAAAAATCTTCAGATTTATATGGAATAATTTTAGGAGTAATGTTTACAATGCAAATCCAATTAGATCCACTTATTTGATAAACAAACCAAATCTCTCATATAATAGATCTACTAAAAGACAGAAAATATTAATTTACAAACTGTACTGCAAATAAATCAAATGAACACTTTCATATTAGCCAATAATATTAATGAAATTAATTTAAAAACTGAATAATTATAAATTTGCACACATGTACACAAGTAAATAAATAGACTCAATGATGCGCAAAAAATCTGCAGATTTCTGCACGCACAGACTCTGTGTAGGCCTTTTTATGGCTCATATATTTTGACTGTAGCACTTCGGCTTCAGCTATAGGACTTGAAAATCCAAGAAAGAAATTCTGATTTCTAGGCTGATTAACATGGCCTTGTTCATTGATGCATTATTGGGAATAGTTGGGTTAAAAACAAGCATTCATAGATTACAATTGCATGAGCCGCTGCATACACATACATAATTCATTTGAAGTATTTTAATAAATCCTTATATTTAGACTATTATAAACAAAATTATTTAAAAATATAATCTATCAATAATAAAACAAATATTTAAAAACTTAAATACAATTATGTAAATAAATTATATATACACAGCTGTAATCTTTTTGCTCTTTTTAGTGTTGTATATATAACTTGTGAAATGTTTAAAAATATTTACACTTTCAAAGGACGGTTAATCATTTTTCTTCAACTTATATTTATTTATTTATATATATTTTTATTAGTTTTATCACATCATATTTTAGTACATAAGTTTGCAATGTATTTCCTTCTCCCATACTGCAAAACATTTGCTCCGTCTGAATGCACATTAACAAACGTTTACCCTCATCACATTTGCCCATCAATGTGTTTACACATTGGATGAAATTGGCGTGAAGTGCAAAAATCTAGCTGTGAAGATCAGTTTATTTTTATTCTTATAAAAGAAAACAGGTAAAGGCATTTACATGAGCTCGTGCATTGTGGCTTAAGAATGTGCATATAAACCAGCTCATTATTTTGTTTTTTGATGCCATGAGCCTCTACTTGTCAGGATGGTCATTTCAAGTAATATTGTTACTTTTACTTTTTTATTTGCTGTCATCTGTGTGTCATATCCAAATGATAATAAATGATTTCGGTACAGTTCCTCACCTCTCTTCATCCATGTTTCCCTCCTCCTCTTCTTCATAGCTGCCCTCATCCAACTCCAGATCCAGCTCAGTGCCGATGCCAGAGTCACGTGGAGCCATGAAGAGACTGGCGATCCACAAAATTAGTTTTTTAATTGTCATTTTTTTATTGACACATCAGAATTGTTCATAATGGCTAATTCATGACAAGATCAATACAGAAAAAAATATTATAGTACAATAACAATGACAACTTTAAACATCAATAAGAAACAATGCAAGAAAACTACAAATTTTACATTAACAACACTAAATATGTTCTTTGTAGAGAGACATTTTGAAAAACATCCATCAAAATAAAATCCTAGTCTGGCAATCTTAAAAAGTATGTTTATATACACCAACGAATTAAACAAAGAATTTATCAAAACACACATACATACTTACATACACACACATAAAGCATACACATATAGATGGTCTAACAAAATGTAATAGTAAATTGTACCTACCACTTGCCAAAACAAAAATGTAAAAAAGCACATCAGGAGAACCTCACTTTTTAAATATCTGTTTTACACTGATATCAAAAAGTGGAAGAAATCCATTTAGGAGTTTTAGCACACCAAACTGGCTAATATGTTAATCTGTTAACCCTTGGATGTCAATTTTCAAGCTCTTTTACATGGAATATATTATAACACAATATAATACAGGGCTCGAAATTAACTTTTTTACTTGGTAGCACCGGTGCTCCCAACTTCAAAAATTTAGGAGCACCAGAAAAAATTTAGGAGCACCAGAAAAAATTTAGGAGCACACACCAAAAATGATCGAGCACTGCTGCAAATTGTATTTTAAGGGATTTATTGTATTTTAAAACAACATCAATTAGGACTAACAAAAACCAGAAACAACTATAACTAATGCTGAGATGACATTTATATTTGTCTGCAATAATTCCAAAATGAATGTCGAATTATAAAATATTAAGGATGATGAAAATGACAATAATAGTAACAATGAATTACATTTGTCACCATCATGCTGCCTTAAATGTGCTTGAATGAATTATGAAAAATAAATGTATAGTTTGCATCAATTAAAAATGAAGCATTGCAGTAAGATATTTATTTTTACTGCTATTTATATATGCATGTCAGTTTAATAAATAATATGTCTATTACAAAACAAACAAAAGATTATAATAATAATAAATAATAATTAAATTCAAGGCTGAAAGCTGCAAAACAGTCATCAGTAACTAAATAAAAAATAATAATATGCACCTCAAGGAAGAATAGAAAAAAGAAAGTAAGTAAAGTCTCACTTCTATCACTCTTTAAAAAGTTTTGGTTTCAGTTTGTGTCAATTAAAATGTTCAGTCTGAGCTGATTTTCATGTTTCTGTGTTAGTGGAAAAGCAGGCGAGTCAGCCGGCCAAATATATGAGCAGGTAGAGCAGGATTTTTGCGATGACCACCGGTGCAATACCGCTGTTTGTTATGAGCCGCATTTTCAGTGTAAACTTAGTAAAGGCGAGCTTCTTTGGCGATGATATGTGCAGTATTAGATTTGACTTTTAGCGGACATTTGCGCTGAACACGCAGTGAATGCAACGCATGAGATTCGGGCGCCTTCTCCGAAAACACGTTCTTGATTGATCTCAGCTGGCGGATCATTATTCACCACGTGACGTGTCATGATCGCTCTCATCTGCGCCTCAACTTTAGGTGGGGTTTGCAAACCTGTGTGCTTTAAGTTTTTACTCTTCAGCCGTTTGCATTTCTCGTGGTCATAAAAGCTCCTTCCCTGTCATCTGACAGCGGAATACCTTGAGTGATTGACGGCTTATAAAAACCAATATAGCGGCAAGGAAGAGCAATTCAGCACGTTTTTAGAAAAAATCTAAACAGGTCGCACTACAACCATTATCTGCAGTCGCACTAATGCTCCCATATATATTATGAGGTCGCATAGATTAATTTTCGGGCGCATATGCGACCAAAATGGTCGCAATTTCGAGCCCTGTAATACACAATATACAATTCATGTTTTGAATCATTGTGTTGGTAGTGAATTGCTGACATGCAGATAGATCCTTACCTGACAGATCGGCACGTGAAGAACACGATCCTCTTCAGTCTTTTGTTATAAAAGAAGTAGTTGAAGGACCACAGGTTGCCTTCTTCCCCATATGGGTCTGAATCCAGGTCTGGATTGTAACTATAAATTTGTAAGCATGCATAAATATTATTAAAATGTCAAAAGCATTTATCGGATTTTAGGGTAAACCTGACTGAACATGGGTTCTGATAGCAGTATATATACCTGTATATGTCACATTCAGCAAGGCTGATCTCCTTGTCCAGGGCTTCCCATAACTGAGGCTGTAGATGACTGTACGCTTCACCAGCAGCAGCAGACAAACTGCTGTTTACTGCATTAAACACCTGCAGCAAAAAGAAAACATTTAATCAACCACAATCTTTAAAGTCCAAATTCAAGTGCACAAATATTAGATATTATTTTTTAAGATTATAAGAGAATTTTTAATAAGGATTATTCATGTTCATGTCAGTTAAATTCATAGCCAATTTTTCTGTTCTGTTGTTTCTTATATATACAATGTTGGGCATATTTAGGTCTGTCAAGATATTCAATATTTCGACTTAATGGCACAACACATGGACAAAAGACCTCAAACATTTTTGGTGATGCAAAATATAAATCGCCCATACACAAAAGCAATTCTAGAAACATTTTAGCTGATTGTGCAACATCTCTATCTCTATTAAGCGTCAGTATGGTTAAAAAACACTATAGTATTTACTATAAATTACTTGAATATAATTTATGTAGGTGTCTTACAACTGAAAATAAATCTGGTAGCAGATATCACAGTCTGTTACGTTTTACCTTGCACTATTTGTAACACCTATTATTATTATTATTTAGGATATGCGTTTTGACATTCTTAATCATTATATATGAGGATTTTAAAAATACATATACAATTATATGTATACAATTATGTATAGTTTTAGCTGTTTTTAAAATATACATTTATTTATTTTGCCTTTTTCTAGTCCAAATATCTACAAATTCTTAAATCAATAAACATTTTCTAAAAAAATAAAAAATATTGTCTTGTTTTGGCAAATATTGTTCCCTATGTTGAGTGACTTTTTTTGTAAATCAAGCAAAATAATCTGCCAATGGGGTACAAAAAATTTAAAACAAGATTATTTTTTTACGCAATTGGCAGATTATTTTATTTGTGATAAAGAAAAACATCATTAATTTTCTTAAATTTCTTTATTCAGGGTGATGCGGTGGCGCAGTGGGTAGCACTGTCGCCTCAAAGCAAAGTTGCTGGTTCAAGCCTCGGCTGAGTCAGTTGGCACTTCTATGTGGAGTTTGCATGCTCTCCCTGTGTTCGCTTAGGTTTCCTCCAGGTGCTCCGGTTTCCCCTCACAGTCCAAAGACATGGTATAGGTATATTGTGTAAGTTAAAAATTGTCCGTAGTGTACAAGTGTGAATGAGTGTGTATGGATGTTTCCCAGTGATTGGTTGCAGCTGAAAGGGCATGCACTGCGTAAAACATATGCTGGATAAGTTGGCAATTCATTCTGCTGTGGCAACCCCAAATGAATAAAGGGACTGAACCTAAATGAATGAATGATTGAATTTTTTTAATCAAGACAATAAGTTTTGCCTGTCTAGAAAATGCTTCTTGATTTAAGAAATTGTGGATATTTGGACTAGAAACAAGACAAAACCTCTAGGTAAGAAAACCATTTTTTGCAGCGTATTCCCTTTAATAAAATTCTAATCCAAGTTAAACTGAAAAATAACTTCTTAGTTAACTAAAAAATCCTGAAATGTAAATCAATATTCCATATAAAAATACTATTATTTGTTATATATATATATACATAAATGCATAAATTATATTATCAAATTTATAATCTAAAGTAAACATTCAAAAATACAAAAAGGTATGCCAAAATTACCCAATTAACACTGGGCTCTTTGCTGAAATCATGGCCTTTGGTGCGACTGAAGTCGTAGTCCGGCCGGAAAGATTCATTAAGCGTTGCGATCAGGTAAAAGAGCGTCTTTCTGCTGCACTTGTCTGAGAGAGGACCTTCCCCATCATCCAAACTATGACTCAGTCTGAAGGGAAAACATTTTTCAAACAAAACGCAACAACATGCTGACCTAGAAAATGTCTGTACAGTACATAAATGGGTTGATGACTGAGAAATAATTACAAGAACTTAATGTGGATTTACTTGTTAGGGCTGATTCCAGAGCTCTGTGGAGGAGACAAAGCCTCCAACACATGCGGTTGCCCCTCCTGACAAAACTGCTTGAACATCTGCTTGTCATCACCTGCCATCTTACAGGAGTAGCTCTCAATGCTGCAGACACATCAAAACAGTGACACAGACTTAATCAAGGGGCCTGCAACCCATAAGATAAAAATACCGGTGACTCACTACTCCATTATCCTATGAAGTGGTTATAAATATACATTGCATGCAATAGTGCACACACATCAATTGGGTCCAAGTCTATTTTTCATTTCATTTTGGGAGAACGTCACTACGACCTACCTCCATATTCAGTCATGGCCTTTATTTTTAATGCATGCGATTGCCATAAAGGTGTCAGAATATGATGCTAAAATAAAATAAAATCAATGTGCTGCATGCTATTGCTATGTCTTTAATATAACATAATCACCCCAGAGGTTGCAATCAAATGGAAAAAAAAGGCTGATAGCTTTTTATTTGAATGCTGATGTTTTTTTATTTAAGTAATTACCACTATTTTTTCTTCTGTAGGTTATGGATAAAATATGGTAATTTTAATAGTTTAATAAAATGAATTTGTTGATTTTAAAAAAAATGTATACCACCATAAACATTTTAAAAAGCTTGGCAAAGGTTTTAGTACTTGCAATGTAAACACACACACACACACACACACACACACACACACACACACACACAGACAGTAAATAATAAATCAATTAAAAAGTAAAATTGCAAAGAGTTTGTATTGGCAGCTACAGAAAAAAGGCACATTTGTGCTGTTTACGGTCAGAAAGTTCTCCAGTTACGTTCCACAAGAAAATAAATAAATAATAAATAAAGCTTCTGGAGTAATTTTTGGTACTTCAAGCTAAAAAAAAAAATTTTTATTTCTTCAGATATTGGTCTCAAATATAAACATAATTTAGAAAATAAATATTCCACATACTATTTTAACTTAAAAAAGAAACCAAATGTTCCTGATTTAGATATAGATTGAGGAAAGTTTTAAAGACAAATGTCATTATTCTTTTAGTATATGCTCAAAAAGTGATTATTAACAAGTCATAAACGGATGATACAGCATAAACATCATTTTGTACAAAAAATGACCATGGTTGATTTGTAGTCTGTTAAGCAAGGAGGTCCAGAGGATTAACGTAAACGTTATGTTTCATGTATTTAAAGTCCCTGTGAACCCGAAACTGCAACCTTTATTTATTTTAATTTTTTTTTTTTTTATTGTGACGCAGATCCTAGAGAAATGGAATATTAAATGACACAACAGTGGACGTGGCTTGTTTTTATACTGTGAGCTGATTGAATGTAGTAAAGTAGGCATTTCATTCAGAAGATGTGGAAAATGGTTTGGAGAGTCATTACAACCTAGCAGATACCTCCTCCTCACCATTTCTGTTTGTTGTCAAAACTGACTGTGGGACCTGCACAGTTAAGTAAGTTAGCCACACCCAATTCCTAATCTAACAATTTAACTGAAAAAAAAACAGGAAGTGCATTTTTAGATTTCAATTAAAGACTAGTATGGTAAATAATGTTTTTTTTTTTTTTTTTTTTTTGAATGACAAGCACAGATGAATTGTTTACTGCAAGACTAGCAATGTGAGCTAACAAAATCATCTGGTTAGTTTTGGTTTCTTTGGGACTTTAAAATATTTTTTTTGATATACGCTCAAAAAGTGGTTAACAAGTCATAAACGGATGATACAGCATAAAATGATAAACATAATTTAGTACCAAAAAACGACAAATACTTTAAATATAAACACTGGTTTATTTATAGTCTGTCAAGCAAGGAGCTTCAGAGGATTAACATAACTTAAACGTTATGTTTTACGTATTTAAAAAAAAAAATGTGCACACTTACCGCCCAATTATCTTACAGTCTCCAGTTTCAATTGTGAGCAGACTGTTAATGGCCTCAAAACTTGAGTTTTCCAGGAGCTTCATTGTTTATTCAAATATTTTTTTTTACCACTGATAAAACTGCAATGACTCCTTCTGCCGCTAGATGTCAGTTTCTCTGATAAACAATCATCGACCAGTTTTCTGCCGTTAAGTTACACCAAACCAAAACTAATGTTTATTTAGCGCGTTCGTTCAGAAAGTTTACAGCACAAACTGAAAATGATCAATAAATAACAACTAGCCAAATACTGGGTTAAACCAGAATAACATCCAACCTCGATATGTCAACTGAAGCACCTTTAAAAATATTTAAATTTCAAATACAAACGGCTCACTTCACCTCTTCGAATGTAAATAAAATAAGCAGATTCTTACGACCGCGTAAATAATCTTCGCCGGTTGCTTAATGTACTTCTATGTCTAATAAATATCTCTTCCTTTTTACTGTGAAATTTCCAATACCTGCCATTAAACAAGCTAAAATTTAGAGGGAAATTATGCATCCCAGCTATTGAATCAGAACTTGAGGAGAATTCCAAGGCTTATAAAAGCCTCAATCCTCGGTTTATTCTTGTCTATTTGAGTGAAAAAAATGTCAACAGCAGAGGACGAGCGTTTTGTTTTGCAGTTCTCGGTCGCAGTACGCAGTTTTCTTTTTCCTGTTTTTTTCTGTCAGGGTGTGAGACGTGTGTAAGGTGTTTAGCGCCAACTAACGGCTTGGGGTAAAAACAATGCGTCCGTTTCCCTCATACAAAGAATGTACAAAGGGAGAAAGAAAAGTTAACTGAAACATTAAGGACGAAAGTGTGTTATATCATTCTGTTCGCCATTAATAAGAGTGTAATATTGTGCTATATCTTTTAAAAGTGATTTACAAAAGACTTTAAATTAAGTTATTTGGAGTAACAATACTCTTCATATCACAAAAAAACCTTGTCAGGCATATTTAAGTCAAAAATCACTCAATATATTATTTAAGGATGAGAGTTCAGACTTAAAGTTCTATTTTTAAATCATTATTCGTAGTAATTTATAATTATTAATACTAAAAATGTATTAATTTTATTATATCATCGTGCAACTTATGATTATAACTATCATAGTACAGCTTATACTCAAGTGTTGGGAGTTACACAATACTTTACTAAGTAACGAGTTAAGTAATGTATTACTTTTAAAATAATTTTCACTTAATTTTTTGAAAATGTAACACGAGTAAATTTTTAGTTTAATTAGCTTATATAAACATAAACTGCTGTAAGTAGTCATTATTTATTTTATCATTACTCTGAACACAATGAAGAAAATGAAAAGCAGATTGTCCCAATGAATGGACATTGATTTTTTCCTAAGATAAATAGTACAAAAGTAGCAAACACTACTTTAAATAATCTGTTTGTACAGCATGTATAGACCGGGCTCAGGAAGTTCTTAAGATAACATAGTTTCAGATAATATTATCCAAAAATATGTTTAATGTGTTTTTAAAGATAAATGGGGATGTTAGATTATACAGTGCGTTATTAATTGCAGAGCTCCGCTTTTAAAAAAAAAAAAAAGAAAAAGTTTTGAAAGAGATCAAGCCTCAGCCAGGTATTAAAAAATAATGCAAAAGTAACTCAAAAGTAACATGGCACATTATTTACCATGGAAAAATTACTAAGTAGCAGAACTAGTTACTTTTTTGAGAAACTATATGTCAATATAGACGTGTAATATTTTAAATTGGCGCTGTTGAAATGCTACTCAATATATTGTTTTTAGTTTGATTACAAATTCAACATTTAAACATTGACCCTTAACCATAACCCAACTTTGAGTTAAATGGTCTACATTAATTTTCAATTAGATGTTTTTAAAAACATCCCTCCTGTATGCTTTAAATATCATATTGAAAACTTGAACACTGATTTTTCTCATAGAGACATTTTATTTACAAAGATGGTTCTGAAGAGGCGTAACTCAGGTAAGGCAGACAAAACAAACAACATTATCACATGCCATTAATGCATGATGTCAGTAAATGAAAATGAATTAAAACAACGACACAGAAGAGGAAATACAAAAAGAAAACACACGCAAGAAAAGATGAACAAAGTATTTATCCCTGAGAACCAGCTGCTTCACACCTATATGTTGCATTCAGAAGTCTAATAAAAAACTAATTGCTAAAATAAACTCACGTTTATTTCACAAGGTGAAAAATGTAGAGAAGGTCCCCCAAGGGAATGAAGCATAGCATAAAATCTATGATAGGATTTCTTCTGCACAACTCAAACAAAAAACAACCATGACCTTCAGCCTTCTGTCCAATCATTAAGCAGTAAAGGTGAGGGAATCACCTATTAAAACAACAACATTGACGGCCAAAAAACATTTAATGACTCAGATCATACATATGACACAAGAAAACATGTCCTTGCTGTCCATCTCTAATAAAAAGCTATTTTTCGGCATACACAGTACACAACTGAAAACTTCCTGTCTCTGTAACACATGATGAGAGATAGTGCTATAACGCAACTTCCAACACAATCATTATACCTGAGGCTGTCTGATGATGATGATAATAATGGCTTGGTAATACCTGCAAGAACTTTTTTTTCTTTTGACAGCTTTACATTGTCAACTAAAAGAAACCGAAAGGACTCGTTTTGAACATAACTGGTGTTTCTCAAGCACTTTCTGACAATGAGGAAATTATATTTACATCGACAAGAAAAATCTAAAAAGGAACATTAAAACAAATCTATTGTAGTTGAAAATTAAATTTAATTTAAAATGCTGTATATAGAGGCAGTGTTTTTTAAGTGACGAGATGATGCTTTTAGTTTTTAACTGTCAATCATCTCTGAAAGCTCTAAAAGAAGGTCGTCCTCTCCTTTGCCTGAATCCAGTTCCAACTCATCTTCAAGTCGATCATCGGTAAATTCATCCAACAGGTCTTCAAAGTCATCCATTGATGAACTAGTAACAACAGGAGGACGTCCAGAAGTGGTGCTGCACCGCCGAGAGCGTTGCATGCTGGGGGTTTTGATCACAGGGCTGTAGAGAAACAAAGAAAAAAGGTTTGGTTTGTACTTAACTCTCTTAACTCTCATTGACTGTTTACATGGACATCAGTAATCAAATTATTTGCCTTAATCTGAATTAGACAATAATATGATTAGGGTGTTTTCATGAGTTGCCTTTTGAATGTTTCTTTCATGATCACATTTTCCCATGTTATAGCACATAGATTGATTAATGTCATTGTGTCACCACACGATCCACATTTCCTCAGAGTTTTGTCTAATTTCGGATGTTTCATTTTTAATTTGTCGACTTAAACTGCAGTTTGGCACTTTCACTTAGGAACAATTCATGCATGTCCCCATGACAAACAAGATGTTGAATAGGAGTATGAACCGCTAGAAGAGTGTTGTTTAAATGGAATTTGATATGGCGCCCCATTAGAGAAAAAAAACCCCTCCACGACGCAGCTGCCTGTAGTCCTTTATTGACTTGGTAGGTGCAGAGAATAGTGTCGAACAGCTGCATGTGTAAAGACTCACTAAATGCACAACAAAATCCTACATGAAGGCAATAGTTAAGGTTAAGGCGTTTACATGACTGTACTGCATTTGAATAATGTGACTAAAATCGCTATACTCCACATCTTATTTCAATTTCGCTTTAGTTCGATTATGACTTTAATCGGATTAAAATAATAAAAAATAAATAAATAAAAAATTCACTGTTTACATGGTAGACTCTTAATCAGAGTAATGGCTTAATTGTTTATAAATCGGAAAAACATACTCATCGTCATTTGCACTTCTATAGTCATTTAATTAAAAGCTTAAAAAAACTCGAAGTCAAAGTCAGTTAAAATCCTTATTTGGCAACAGTATGTAAAAATCGCCAAAAAATATGTAAAAACCTCTTAATATTCATGGCTCAAGAGCTCAAAACTAAAATTGAACACTACATTTTTATGAGAAAGGTTCTTTAAGGCCATATTTACAGTGTATGTGACTTAATTCCGATTTTTTCTCCTATGAGGCATAGATCGGATATGGCCCGTATACATGCAAGCAGGAAATTTTTTTACATGGATTCCGATTTACTCAAATCAGATTCGGGCCTTGTTCATATGTGGAAATTTATCCGATATGAATCAGATGTGCCGTTGTGTCTGCAGTGTATGCAGGTAGATAGGATTTTCACCTGTAAATGCGAGTCCCAAAACCTTATATCCTATACACGAGGACTATTAAAGCTTTTATATTGTCATATAGCACACATATTTAAGCATGTTAACAGGAGAGAGAGAAAGCGAGAGCGTAACATCTGCCACGTAACCAATATAAACTAATATAAAACTGTTGCATACATCACGTGCATAAATCACGTCATGGACATCACATTAAGATGCCTACTGGTTTTAAAAGTCCTAGATTTAAAAAAAGTTTGCCAAATGAGAACTTTTCTGTCATAAACTACAGTAAAATAACAACTTGACAGCACCCGCTATTTTTTTCCCTGCTCATTGCGTCTTTGCCGTGTACTATGTAAATGCAGACAATCGGATACGAGTCACTTTAAAAAAGTAAGCAGGTCAGCCAAAAAATAAATAAAAATGGCATACAGTCACAAAATCGGAATTGACCATCAAGATCTGTAGTGTAAATGCAGCATATGTGCTCAGAGACAGTATTTAAATATCAGCTATCAACCCATATTTCTTTTGAATGTCTACTTAATAAATACTGTGAAAAGTTACATATCTATCTATTTATCTATCTATCTATAGAAAACTCAAACATTAAAGAAAAATAGAAAGAGCCCTTAAAATGTCACCAAAATCTTCATAAAAACATTAATAGTTTTTTTGCCTTGCCTTTTTTTAGAATTTCTGCAGTAAACCTAGTTTAGCAAAACACATATTTTAAAACACTTAAATAAATATCATAAACTTGCATAACTTCCTTAAAATTAGACCTTTCTCTGATTCATGTAAAGCCTTTGTAGGATATGGTATATTCACAGTTGCCAAAAAATGTGACCAAATGATTAGTGTTAAAATGATTATAAATTTATTATACCCTTATGAAAAACACAAGAACATTTTCTTTACCTATGTGGGACCACAACAGTCTCCACTGATGTAGTGCTTGCGGGTTCAGAACAGCTGACAGGCATCATCTGAATATTCTCTGTGTTGGAGGGCACCTGCTGAGTGTCGGACTGAACCACTTTCTTACAGGTGGGTGACGCCATCTGGCAAAGTGAAAAAGAAAAAAATAAACATCTTTTGTATTCTATTTATTTTAATACTCTGAAACTCAAGACTTGACTGTGAAGTTAAGTTCAATCTCACCTTAAGGCGCTTGTTGGGCATCACTGGCGAGGAAGGTGTTTGACAGGTAGTGTTCAGAGGCTTGACTTCAGCAACAGCAGAATGAACTTTTGCAGCTTTCCTCTTCTGGACAGACGGGGCTGCCGGCTTCACTACTGATGGCTTCACATTCACTTTGGGTCTCACTAAAAGGCAAACAAATATATTGGAGTATGCTGCTTAGATAAATGTTTTCTTTTTTTTTATTAAAATTAGAAAAGATTACTGACATGAAATATTTGATCATCTAACTTTTAACATCCTTATTGTTGCGTTTAAATTTGAGGAACGTTGGAGGAAATCAATACTGTCAAATACAAAAACACAATGAAGCATGTTTGTTTGTTCAACACCATGCTAGGGTATGTCCATGTGTGTACCATAACTGGTTGTTATGTACTGACGTCATAAATCACATATGCGTTATACGGCAGTAGCTTACTATGATGAGAGAGGAGAATGACAGTAATTAAAACGCTAAAAAGCAGACAACCGTGCACAATTCACTGCTTGTGAGTTTGCAGGGCAGTCTTTCACTGACAGGGAAGTATATTTTAATACAAGAATTATTGTGTTGCTACATGACAATTGTACATACTGTTTATGGAAAGCATCCTTAATGCACCAAGATATCGAATTGAACTGAATCGATAGCATGATAATCGTAACCGAACCATGAGACCAGTGTATGATCGCATCCATAATAACAACTGACACCCTAATAATAAAAACATAATAGACAATGGATATAATCCATCCGTTCTCATCTATTAAAGAAATTATTTCAGTGAAATTATTTGGTGTATTAAGCCATCTGGTCAATATTTTTTAATTAACAGTGTAACTCCATTAACAAGAATGTGAAAAAAAACTGTATTAAATAACTTCATGCCAAATGGCAAAAAATAAAATCTTAAAATTATCCAATCTAAAAAGTTTCAGATCTATACATTTCAAATCAAACACATAAGTGTTATTTTATCCACCTAATCCACGTGTGTTTTTTTCACCATGCCATCTGGTGCCACTAATAGGCATTTCAATTCTACATATAACTCATATTTAAAGAAAGCAGCTGACAGGTTAGACTCATACCTTTGGTCTCAGCTGGTGTAACGATACCCTCTGCTATCCGCACTGGTCTGACTGGTGAGGTTGAGGGCTTTGGTGTGTTAGTTGATGGAGTGCTGTCTTCAGAGCGCTCAGGTGAGCTTTTCTCGATCACCACAGCATCAGAGACAGGTGGACTGGGCTTGGCTTTAAAGGTGATCCTCTGTCTGACTGTGGTTTGAGGCTGGACAGAGGGTTCAGGGGCAGGCGGTGATTCAGACGCTCCTACATCTTTCTGGTTGCTGGAGGTGACCTGCTCTTCCTGTAGCTTGCGGAGTCTCTTCTCTCGCATGATTTCCTCAAATGTCTTCACTTTGACAACCTCGCTGGATGGTTCGATTTTTCCATTTGCCTACAAGTTAAAGAATAGGTTATAAATTCTCATAATATACTCGTAAATCTGCTTTATTGTCTATTTTTCTATGTCACACCTCAGTTGCAGGTTCTGGTTTCTTCTCAGAGGCATCTGGCTTTGTCTGAGTTACTGCAGCAGCTAGAAAACAAATTAACAGCTCTGTGAACACACTTCCTTGGAACAAAAACCATTTCAAGACTGTTCAATGATTGTGTCCGACTTACGTGAGGTTTTGTTTATGCGTAGAATGCGCCTCTTTGAAGGTCCACTTAGTTCTGCTTCACTAGAGGTTGGAGTCTTGTTGTCTGTGGTCTCTCCAAGCTGTGTTTGCATCCGAGCTGCTTTTTCCCTGCGGATTTCCTCTAGTGTTTTTACTCTGACCTCCCCAGTTGTCACAGTGGTCTTATTAGTGGCTCTGGCAGAAGAGGGTTCTTCGCTCCTCTCTGGGCTTTTGTCAGCTTTGTTTATTTCCTGCTCTTTTTTCTCCTGCATTTTTCTTTTCTTTTCGTGAAGGATTTCAGAGAAAGTTTTAACTTGAGGTCCAGCAACAGGTTTGACACTTTTTTTGGAGGGGCTGATCTCTTTCTGCGGCACTTCTTTCACAACACGAACAACTTTACTTTTGCTGAGGTTTTTGGCTGCCTTCTCTTGCCGAATCTCCTCTAGGGTTTTTATACGAATGTCTCCGGATGATTTTGGCTCGCTGTCACCGCTACTCATGTCAGTTGTCAATCCAAGTCTTTCGTGCACTGGTTTATGAGCTGAAAGAAAGTGAATCATTTGAATAAATTATGGAAAGAGACACAAAAATGCCTCTATGCCCCCAAATTGCACAATGAATGAATCTCATACATTTATTTGTTAGCACATCTGTCGAGGATTCAACAACTCCACCGAGACGTTCAGCAAGGCTTCGTTTTAAAGGTGGGCCTTCTTCCCCAGGGACATCTTAAATCAAATGAAAACATCTCTGAAAACGCTTTAATGATGTGCTAAATTGATAAAAATATTTTGGTTAATTGAAAATGATAATTAAACAATATTTTAATGCTACTTTGGCTGCCCATTATGGGTAACGTCCACTTAAAAACAACCAAAAGAGTGAAAGTAGGTCTGGTCTTCAATGGTTGGTTCACCCAAAAACTGCCCACCCATGCAACCAAATCAAATGTTTTCATAAACACACCTCTTTCCAAAATTCTTTTGCCAAGCCTGTCTGCAATTCGTCTTTTTCCAACTTCTTTACCAGATGAATCTGCAGCACAAAATTAAAGAAAAATAAACTGTTTGATTCTACCAACAACAACAACAACAACATTTTTGTACCACTAGTACGAACCAATCTTGACATTGTTAACTTCCAGACGTGAGAGAGACTGAATGTTTTCCTTTTCAACAGTAGGTCTACTGATTTGGGCTAAGCCTTGCACTGTGCTCTGCCCTGCAAACAAATAAAACACACATTTTGAGATCAAATTTCCAGACAACAGTTTACCCTAAAGCTACAGTGTTGATGATTCACTTACTAGCTTTCTTTAGGTTGGACATAAGTGCTTTCCTCAGCCTGATCTCCTCTAACGTCTGGATACCAAAGTCCAGAGAGTCATCTGTAAGGCAGACCAATGAATGAATAAAGATATCAATTAACGTTTTTGTAGAAAAATTCCACAAAACACTGAAACATTAAGGAATATTTACGTTTGCTTGAGACCAGTTTCCGGGGTGAGACTCCTAAAGATTCGTCTCCTTCCTCTGAAAACTGATCTGTAAATAATGAAGTAAAAAGTCAGTAAAGATTTCTAGATGAATGATCTTAACCAGTCATCTGCAGACATTACCACCAACCCTAATTAGAATCACACCTGAACCAGTTCAACAATGATTAATTAAGGACTGGGATTAATGATGAATGGGATTGGACACTCCTGTTCTAGTTAAGGCATTTACAGAATGACTGCTTACCATCTTCATCATCGTCATCCACAGGGTTAATGACCACTGGTGGATGAGTAGGGCTGGGCACATTCTCTTGGGTCTCAGTTCTCTTGACTCCTCTGAGCTGTGGGTTAGTGGGGTTTGCACTGGGTGCAGGGACTTGGTTCACCTTCTCCTCAAGCGGGGCCTCTTCATTGTCCTTTCGCGCTACCTGCCCTGTAAAAAAAAAAAAAAAAAAAAAAAAGACAATTCATCAATTAGAAATTCCTATGGAGACCAGTAATGTTTAAAAATCCTCTAAAGAGGATCAAATACCCTTATCTGGAGCCAAGTAGTTGCCATTGATGATGCGTGGCTTCTCATGATGGAAAGCACAATGAGGCTTCTGGCATCCAGCCGGCTGATTCTCCCAATAGCAGGCAATTTCCTTTCGGTTTTTCTATAAATGGCATCAACAAAGTCATCACTAATGAGGTCTAATTTCAGAAAGAAAAAAATCTTAACATTTGAGGGATTTAAAAAGTGACCTACATCTATTTCCATGTGTCGAAACTTGCAGACGTTACGGAAGCATCTTTGCTCTTGCCACAGGTTGCAAACCGTTTCACTACCCATGGCAGCCTCACAGTGTCGAAAAGGGCAACTGTCACCCTTAAAAAGGACACAAAACATTTTTAATTCACTATACAATTTTTTATTTACAAAAATCATAAAAAAGTGTTCTATTGTTAATAATAGGGTTGCTGCGATATCATTAATTCATGTTACGATACTATACCAGCTGAAGCATCGTGATACTAAGTAGTATTGCGATATTGTAATTAATAACTCAAACCCATGATATAAAAAAAAATTCAGAAACACTACAATTTACGTTATAATAGGCCTACTTAAATCTAATTAACCATTGCTTTATTATTGAAAAAAGTATTTGAACGTTTTTTTTTTGTTTAGTTTGTAAATAACTGACCGACGAAAAATACATTAAAATAAAGATGAAAATTTTACCAAATGAAATTCATTACAAAAAGAGCATTTTTTCAACCAAATTAGGTTTATGAAGTGGTCAAAAATTGTTTCAATGTTTCCTGTATCTATTGTTTTTTTTTTTTTCTTATTCAAAATTTCACTGCGAGTCGTTCTTTTTCAGAGATTGTCACAGTTGTTGTAGCTACTAAATCACATTGACAGGAGCAGAAATTAACTGATTCAGATTCAAACTGAAGCATCAAAAAAAGTGCAATATGCCACTATAAAAGGCGTGAATTCTACACAGTTTTGCAACCTTATAGAGCTCCACAGACTATTCAAATAAAATGGTCTAGCGTTGCACAAACGTGTGGTAGACACATTATGTATTGTAGATAGACAGTTAATGACAATATTAGCATTTACAAACTGAAGTGGAACCGCCAGTATTTTGGAGCCATAGAATTACGATACTACCATAGTACTGGTAAACAGTGTAACCCTAGTTATGAATAAAATAATTTGACTCATGAATGCTCAAAATACATTCCAAATTTAAAAAACATAACATTTATTTCCAACAAAACCACAACAGCTCATCATCACTTCATTTTCTACCTACCTTCGTACAGGTAGAATAGTAGAAAAAGTAGCAATCATCTCCTTGCAAGGTCATTCTGGAACAGGTTTGTACTCTTCAGGGTCAGGAGGTGGGATCTCGTCCTGGACACTTGCAATCTCCCTATTTAGAGTGTTAGAAGTCTATTCATGCTCCTGTTGATCCACATTTTTTCACTTTCACATTCTGTCTTGAATGGCGTAAAATGGTGGAGGATATTTAAGAACTGGTAAGAGAGTGAAAGCGTTGCAAGAACTTCGTTCACCTGCAGTGGCTGAGATGTTCCCCGGCACAATCTCAAGCACTCCTTGAAGAGTCGCTCCGCACTGTTTGGATCCTGAAGGAATACTTGACTGATGAGTACAGAGCGAACAAGGGAAGCAGGGGCAACTTTTGCCTCTCTTTTAGTGACCTGTTCCCATCAGACTGCTTTGCTAAAACTGGCAGATGGTGGAAAATGTCCTTTTGTTTTTTGTTTTTCTCCGAGATTGTTGATAATTGAGAGGTGATTGGGTTTGGGGGAGTTTAAAAAATTCTTGAACTAGATGAAGTCAAAAAGGGGCAAAACATGTATATCTGGATATCTTGGAGATGTTGAAATGGGTAAAAAAGGAACAATATCTTCTACGTCACTGGAAGCCGGGTGGAAAAATTAAAATGGGGTAAACAGGAACTTTAAAAAAAAGCCCAATAAGAGGGAAAAAAAAACAATGGAGAGATTTTTAATACAAAAAGGCAGCAATCTTCAGGAAAGCTAACTCATTATCCAACTCCAGCAATCCTCTGGAATGAGGGACAAGATCTTGAATAACCTACATTTCAAAAAGGAGACAAAAACACTCCCCATGTGCTGAAAAGTTGGTTATTTAAATAAGGACAGAGACACAATATGCATTATTACACGGAAAACATGGCAGACAGAACATGTGTTAGGGTTTACATAACACGTAAAGACAACAATGGATTTCTGTAACAACAATGTCGTGTTTCAACACGATTTTGTTCTTGGTGTGGTGATCCAAACATAGTAAACAGTATTAATCACGTTTTAAAGTTAGTATCAAATTCAGCATTTTGACGATTTTGTGTCCGCGAATGTAACGTTAAGGTGCAGTTTACAAAATCTGCATTTGTAAAGTGTAAAGGTTTAAAGCACATTTTTACAGATGAACAAAAAGCAAATATCACCACGATCATAAATCAAAGCCGAAGCAAAAACGTTTTGAATGTAATAAGAGTCAATAATTATATTCCCATAGCTGTATTACATTACCGTAATCTTCGAAATCCACTAACGTTACTCAAATGATTGTCGCGTTATGCAAGATTGTCGAGTTAGGCCGTGGTGTCATTGTTTTATTTGACTCGATTTACTATGCAAATCTTCATATGAAAAACACAGACAAACAACGTGTAAAGACCAAATGAGTATATTTTAAATCCAATAGCTGTTTAGCGTTACGTGACAAACAACACGGTAGCTTATTCTACGGCTTAGCATAGCATGTTGCTAACTTCGAGTAAGTTAGCATTCTAACTTTAACACAACTACTAGACTGTACTAAAATATGTTGAATGATAAATAAATAAAATGTTTAATAACATTTACTTTAAATTAATCTAGCACAATTACCAGTTTATACCGAGTGGAATTAAGTATGTTCGGGTTGATGCACGTAGGCTCTCCAGTACAGGACTTTTCTCTTCTCGGTTTTACAGACGAACAAAATGGCGCCCGCGCTGCCCAGCAGGAAAGTGCTTACACAAATGACTGTAAACGTCAGTGTGACGGCGAGACTCGTTAAAGGGACAGTTCACCACTTAAATCACACCCTTCTCAATTAAATGGGTACAGACAGGTTGGACTTACTTTTAATTGTTTAAATAACAACTCAGAAATTTTGGTCCAGTCTTAAGTTTATGTTAGCTTAACAACAGTGTCAATCATGTGCTTGACATGTTAATCAGATGATGCTGTAGCCCTTCTACCTCAATGTCTTGTGTTCAGATGCTCTACTGCAGTGGTTCTCAAACTTTTTTCATCAAGTACCACCATGAGCAATATTGAAATACTGTAGCGTAGTAAGCCCAGTAAAGCAGCTACAGTACAGCTCTGCACAGTTCAAAAACGTGGCAGATTAAATTCTATTAATTAGAATATTTATTATTGTCAGCCACTTTAAACATTATAAAGAGTCTGAACGTTATCACTGTGCTGTATCTAAAAAAAAACACTAAAAACGTCAACATTTTTATTAAAATGTGCTTTTAAAAGTTAAAAATGGTAGGTTACTGTTCTTAAAAAGTATAAAGAAAAGTGCTGTACTTAAATGTAAAGTGTTAACATATAGGAGCCAATTCTTCAACACCTGGAAATCTTGTCTGGACCTCAGAAATACAGGCTATATGTCATATAATAAATATTATATGTAATATTTATATATAAATAATTTCTGATATATGTTGATAAATATGTAGCATGTACATTTGACATATTTGATTCCTCCGCGTACCACTAGATGCGCACCACTAGTGGTACAAGCACCACAGTTTGATAACCACTGCTCTACTGCAAATGCTTGCTTATAAGAATTTATTTGTCCTTCTATTAGCACAAACCTCCTCTGACCTCTGGCATTAATAATACATTTCCTTCAAGCAATTGCCACAGTTATTTTATTTTTTGACCATTCCCTGTAAACCATTGAGATGATACACATGAAAAAATCTCAGTAAATCAGCACTTTCTCAAATATTGACGCTGACACACAACCATGCCACCATGTTTAAAGTCACTTTCTGATACTCAGTTTGAAATTTAACAGAATCTTTTGACAATGTCCACATGCCTAAATCCACTGATTAGTTATTAGATATACTGATATTAGATATTTGAGTTAAGAATAATACAAACAAAATAAATACAATATAAAATAATTTAAACAGACAAACAAACACAAGATTAGTGTTACATGGGGCATTTTACACATGGGTAAAACAAACAAAGACTCAGATGCTGTCAGATTAACTACTAACAAATTTAGTACAAAATCCACCTACATACTTGAATTGAAATAGGGGAATCTGTGATAATCTGATTTGTTTAACCAATCAGTTCTGAATGTTTTTTTTTATTAAGAGTATAATAAAAACTTGTAGATGCATATAAACAACCTGATAAAGGGGGTGTTAATCCTGTTAATAGTGATGACCAGCATAGTGTAAGGTGTAGATGTTGCAGTTTTCTTTTTGAAGTATTATTTTCAAACAAACCAAGACAATCGATTTGTTATTTTTTTGATTTAGAGGCTATTTTTTATTCATATTTGCATTTTATTCATACATTTTAGAAGGATTTGCTTATCTTCCAATTGGTTTGGGGCTTGGGGACATGTCTCCTTTTAAAGATTATTTATATTAATATACATAAAATTGTATACATTAGTACTAATTTGCCACTTTTCTGACAATATGTAAAATTATATTTCCTCAAGATATCAGGCTGAACTACAAACACACACAAACAAATTATGTCAATGAAATGCATGCACTAGTACATCTTTTGTTATCCATTACATGTAGCTAAAACTTGCTTAAACAATTGTTTAAGAAACAGTTTTAATATCCAACAAGAATTGTGGGCATTTTCTTAATTTATTGTTTGTTTATCTATTGTTAATTTGCTGGTGTTTTTTGTAAATGCATGTGTTTTTTAAATTTCTCTTGGCCACTGTAGAAATGGTTCAAATTAAATTACATTTAAAGGTGTTTTAGAACAAAAGAATCAAGACGAAAGCAATCATAATTATTCACTAGTGCACAAGTCTTTCCATCTGCTTTAATCCTAAATCAGCATTTTAGTTAAGAAACCTGCACTCCCCAATGTAATAAAAATAATCATCAGTGATAATTGTACTTTCCTAGAATTATTTGAAATGGCATGGAACGGGGTGCACCAGGTGATATTTGTTATTCCTTCACTACAGCTATAAAATGAGTTGAGGGAATTCGTTCTGTAATATAGTCCATCTGATCTGTTTGCACAAAACAGACTTTGCTGTGCTGAAAAAGATCTGACAATCTTCACACATATCGGTGTTGGCAAAGAGCCTTTTCCAGCTGTTGCAAAAATACTGAAGAAAAAGTTGGTGCTGGTCATGGAGGAAGACGATTCAATTCCTGTTGCAAATAAAAAGGTTATAATTCAGAATGTGAAAATAAGTAACCATTTATAACAGTCCAACTATGCCAATCTCACCATGTATTAATGATTTCTTAAGGCTGTTGACTAAAGGGTAGGTGCCCTGTCCACAGAAATATCCAGAAAAATCATCCAGGTCTAGAGCCCACACAAACGCACCCCCGAAGCCATGCTCCAGTAGATATTTTGTCTTAACGAAAGTAAGCAGAGCTGTTATTTTCAGCTATACATGTAGACATCACAGTATTACATAACATAATTGAATGTACCTTAATATTGAAGCTTCTCAGACTGTCAAATCCCACCCAGTCATTGCCTTTCACAGAAAAAGGTACTTTCTGGTCTTCAATCCACTGTACCACACCACCATTTAGAAAAAGACATATCTAAGGGGAAAACAAAACAGGTTGATAATAGGTAATATTCGGAAATGTGTACATGGAACTTCGCCTATGTTATGGCACCTTGCTGCAGTTTTAGTTTCCCTGAGTCTAAATCTAAGTATTTAATTTTTGCTTAAATGTAATAAACATATGCTCAGTTAGTTATTTTAAAGAAACATTACACTTAATTTTTTTTGGGGGGAAATAGGCTCTTTAATCTCCCCTATAGTTAAACAGCTGAGTTAAACCATTTTTGAATCCTTTCAGCCAACCTCACATTCTGACAGGAGCACTAATCTTAGCTTAGCATAGAAAATTGAATCAGATTAGACCTTTAGCATCTCACAAAAAAGACAATTTTCCCGTTTAAAGCTTACCTTTTCTGTAGTTACAATGTGTTCTTAGATGCTGCATGACTAAATAATAATATTTTGCAGCTCTAATACCTACTGAGGACTATTTTCAACTGCTGTGTAATATCACTGCACCTGCAGCAGCCATGTTCAAGCAGCAAAATTATTGATTATTATGCTGGAATTATAGACATATCTAAGGAACTTTTTATTTTCTGTCAGTCTTTTTACATGATCTAACTGCAAAGGAATCAAGCTTTACAAAGGAAAAATTTTAAAACAATTAAAAAAATAGTTTGAGCGAGATGCTAATGGGCTGGTTTATGCTAAGTTAAGATAAAATGCTCCCACTAGAATGAAAGATTGCAGACATCCCAAATTATGAATAATAATCTCCTGGAAATCACGCGTCTCCCACCCGGTCCTTAAATACATCGCATACCCCTCTCCAACGCATCCCTCCCAGCTCTTCAAATACTTAGCGTCCTCTCCCCCACTTTTCAGATTCATCACGCATAGACACTTACTTTAACCCCACAACAAACACAAATAATCCCAATACTACAAATGTTTCAATTTCCTAAACCTTTCCCACCTCAGTAGCAATGAGCACAGTAGCAAGTGTTTTGCTACACAAAATAAACACAATTAATACTGTTTATTGTACATAAAAATTACGTACATAAAAGTACAAAGTAGTCAAAGACAACTAATATAAAGTGGAACTAATACTTTAAAAGTTTGATTTATAATTAGTATTTACTTCATAGTAAGCCCACAAGCCTATCTCTTGTGTATGAGGTCCAGGAGAAGCAAATTTATTGGCTGGGGCTCCGACTCCGTTCTGAGAGGAGTTGAGGATAAAAGAGCGTCCGTAAGTAGAGAAGCCCATCAACAACTTCTCAGCAGGAGCTCCCTGAGATCTCCAGTACTGCAGAGCAAAATCCTGAAGGAAAGATGAAAATACGCAAACTATAAGGCCACGGTCTCAAACTCAATTCCTGGAGGACCGCAGCTCTGCATAAATTAGCTTCAACCATCCTCCAACTCTAACCTTCTTAATAGTCTTTAGGAGTTTTGAACAAATTCGATAAGTTGGATCAGCTGTGTTTGATTAGGGTTGGAGCAAAACTTTGCAGAGCTGCGGCCCTCAGGTATCGAGTTTGAGACCTATGCTATAAGGTATTTGCTTGAGGGTTGCTCTTATATAAGAGTGCTCTTGCTTACAGTGTTTGATTTGATATCCTTGTCATCACTCATGGCACTGTACAAAGCACTGTGATGTCTTGCAATGCCATCTTTATATGTATGAAAGTCAAACGTCTTGACATTAATAAAGTCCAAGTACCTGGGAAAAAAAAGTTTTTACATTTGTAGAAATGTAGCTTTTGTTGAGCAATTTTTATTAAGACTGCTGATATGAACTGATATGATATGTATTATGAATTGTATGAATTTGTATGGATATGATATGTTGTTCTTACTCTGAGATCTCTGGAATTATGTAGCTCCTTTCAATAACATCTTTTTGTGCGGAAACAGTTGCTGTTAGAATCAGTCTTGTATCACTGTTCAGGCTTTCAGCTACAAATGCTTCCAGAAGTTCCTAAAGTTTTACAAAAGTTTGACTTTTGAAAAATGGAGTCATAAATCTTAATACATTTTTAGCTGTATGAGATCTGATCCAAATCCAACATTTTCTGTAATGTCTGACAAAGAATTCAACTTTACCGTCACAAGAATAAATTAAACTTCAAAATAGGGCTGCAAGATATTTGAAAAATGTAACATTGCAATGTTTTTTTTTTTAATTTTGCGATATGGATACAATGTCACCAGATGACTTAATATCTCTGTTTGAAAAGAATTTAAAATGTCAGATCGATTGGGATGATTCTGCAGTGGGAATGCATCTCCATAAAATCTAATAACCAATTTATAAATCTTTGGGGGTCTCCGACACATTTTCGCTGTGGTCTGTGCTATTTGCAGTGCATTTCAGTATTTGCACGTTGTGAGTATTTTCATTGATATCAATCTAAATGCACTGTATAAAAGTGTATAATGCACTCAGTCAAAAAAGAGATTCAATTGAAATGAAGTGTTTTATAATTTTTAAAGTCTAAAAATATTCAAGTACAGTAACTGAATGATAAAAATGTAAATAATTCAATAAAATTAATTGTAGTTAAGGTCACAAATGGAACAATTTCTATACCTGTATGCCTTTAAAGTCATTATACATAATCATAAACATCAATAGTATAATAGAAACTCAACATTGCATATATCCTGCGATGTGATTACGAATTATCACATTGCGATATCTATGCTGAAACAATATATTGTGCAGCCCTACTCCAAAATATATTCAATATAAAACTTGAATTAGATTTTACTGTCATATTTTCTTTATTTGTCATTACAAAAATTACACAGTTGGAGACATCAATCCTTCTAAATCATTAGTCCTCCTGTGAAATTGTCCTAACAGTTTCAAGTGCTTTTTAACAGAGAGAAATTTTAACACTTTTTTTTAAACTAATTTGTTTAGTTTTTATCTTGAGGACATCATATGCATTAGAGATTTAGCAATATTCTTGTAGTTAAAGGTTAGGTTAACTCCTTTATAAGTGAATCTGGTTAATTTTAATTCTAGTCAAACTAAGAATTTCAGACTTTCCAAAACTAAGAAAATATGATAAAAGTTTTTTGAAAAGACGTTTAGTTTTAACCTTGCACAGAAGAGTGAATTTCAGCTTATCTTCTGGATGCATCTCTGAAGTGTTTTTCATTTCCCAGTCCAAATCCAGTCCGTCAAAGTTATATTTCCTCAGAAACTCAATAGAAGACTTGATGAAAGTCTGGCGGTTTATCCACTTGGATAACATAATAGAGAATCTGTTGTAAAGAAGAAAATGCTGCTTATTTCACTATAGAAGCAATTCTAGCTTCTTTAACAGCAAAATAAATTCTTAAAGTCTGTATATAAATATAAATAAACAATTTAGACATACAGTTAGATAGTATGTTACCAGCAGAGGGCAACTTTTACCTAGAAACAAGAACAAAACACTTACTGACTTGAGTCCTGGTCTCTGACAGACAACAAGGTTATCAGCTGTGGATTTCTTTAAAAACAAAACAAATATGTCAATAATTTGTTTAACAGCAAGACATTTGAAAACTTAAAGACTATAAACCTAAGCATCCTCACCGTTTCTTATGTGCATTGAAGGTTGAATAGTGGACGACATCATTCCACTCACTGCCTGCAATGTTATTGGCATAGTTGATAATAGCAAAAGCATAAATTAAATGAGTACACAAGTTAGGGTCCACATTTTCAGGAAGGTATCTTGCAGTTCCTGATCTGTACTGAGACCAGTTTGTAAAGTAACACACCAGTTTTGAACAGGCTACTGAAAAGAAAAAAAGAGCATAAAAAAGATACACACTGTATGTGATTTGGTTGAGTTTTCAGTATTTAAAGTTGCAATAATGTTTTTAATAATAAGTATTGAATAGAAAATCTCCTTACCGAACTGAAAGAGCAAATTCAGGCCTAAAAAGAATAAAGATTGTTTAAAAGCTGCTTTTTGATGATTCTAATGAACTTAAGAGACACAATCAAATAAAAAGACAGACACAATACCTATTAAGTGTGTTATTCCCCTGTTCATTTTGTTGCTGCTACATGTCCATATCTAGTTTAGTAAGGGGAGAATCATTGTGAAGTATAAAGTGAGGGGTGGGAAGAAACACAAAGAGGGTGACGCATATAACATGACACTAAACATGAGATGATATGTTTTTTAGCCTATAGTAAAATGATTTCAGTCATATCTGGTCAAACCAATTGTGTTAACAGACCCATCAAGATTTATTAATTTAGCATTTTTTTTTTTAAATTAGGACATTTATCATTTGACAGATACACTGAAGGTTTAGTGTATCTGTTCCGGTGAAACAAAAGTGTGGATGTTCATTTGCCTGAGACTGTTTACAAAAATATTATAAAACATTTGATGAAATATGCTTTCCAGTAACTACTAAGACTTATTCATTAGCTACTTATTACAAACTAGTATTTAATAAACAGAAATATGTACTTACTTAGTTACTTATTACTAGATAATATAACTTACTCATTAGTATTACTAATTATTCTTTAATTAATACATGTATAATTAATTATTATCAAAGTTACTTGTAATTATCTAATCATATAACTAGTAAAAACGTTTTTTTTGTACCATTAACACCTATAGAGATCTGTCATTATGATATAAGCTAATGAGTTTTGACTAGTACATATTACATTTGTGACTATAGTACATATTTTTATATAGTTATACTACTACTTATTTTTAGATACTAACCATCATTAGATACTTGTACTTATTTGATACTTTCATGAATTACATACTATTTTGTATACATCTAATACTATAATACCTATTGACTTCTATCATAAATAGATACAAGTAGTTACATATTAGGTACTAATACCTTTTTGTTACATTCCATTTGCTGAAAAAAAGAGAAAGTTGAGGCCAAATTAAGACTCAAAATCACCCCAGAGTGGATGAAAACTTACCCAATAACAGCACACAAGGGTTAGTGTGTATCTTATAAGAAATAGTATTCAAACTAGCTACATTAAAAAAAAAAAAGGTATTGTTATCTAAACAATAAACACAAATACCCAATAAAAGGTATTTAGTGCAAAGAGTAATGTATGGCATAGATTCTGTTATGTTTTATAGATTAAGAAACCATACACAGAGAATATAACTTTGCATCTAAAGACAAGTTACTCAAGACGCAGCATTCAGTTTAAAATGAAATAAAAAAAACACATCCTCTATGTTAACATCTTTTTATGCCAACTGGCTACAGTAAACAGCAGGGATGAAGCGAATTACCTGATTCATGGTTCAAAACGATTCACGATACTAATCTCACGATTTAGTCACAATTGTTTTACTAAATTAATTAAATCAACTTTAAAGTCATTTTTTTCTTAAATGCTGCACATTCTTAGCATATATATATATATATATATATATATATATATATATATATATATATATATATATATATATATATATATATATATATATATATATATGTATATAAAAACAATAATACAAACTAAAGAAGACTCATTAATATAAACAAACTACAACTGTGACTGTACTCTGATTTTAAATTTTTAAAAAGAAATATTAATATATCTTTGTTATCTAGCATACGCTGAGATCTTTGCACATTTACAATGTCCCCTGCTGAAAAAAAAACTCTTTTCACTGGGGACTGAGATGGCTGGTGTGGGGATGCTTTTACTAAACCAGAGATTGGTGTGCACAGAGGAGGTCAATAGGCGTTCTGCTCCCAGGGACTGGCCACTGGCATAAAAAAACTAATTATAAAATTACTAATTATATAGTAGGATGGAGACAGAAGTTGAACATGATTGTAAAGGTGAATAAATAATATTACTTGCACAATTAATTAGAATAAGTATCAGTGTGATACTTGTAAATACAGCGCCCCTCTGTTTAAAGCATTATTCCTTCAACATTTCTACCAGTTTGAATCATCACATATTTGAATCGATTTTTAACCGGCTCACAGTAAATCATTATATCGCTAGTAAACAGAAGCTTGCAGCTAGTAAACGCCTGCAGCCTCCAAGTTCTTTTGATTGGTCCATTGCTTTAGAAACTGATACTGATGAGCTGTGTGTAAAAGCTGAAGTTCTTTAAACTTGACACAACTTCTTAAAAACAAGCAAGAGCCGCTGCAAAAGAAACAAGTGTATCATTCGTGCACATCCATCAAGCGTGTGTTTACAAAAAAAAAATGTAAAAAGTTGTGCATTAGAATGGAAAAATTAAATCTGTGTAAATGAGTCTTAAAGAAATTTAAGTCTATTCAATTAGTTAAATCTAGAAACAAGTACTTGAAACAAGAAAACGGATGCTGGCTTGTTTTATATATTTTATAACAATATTAAAGCATGAAATGAAATGCTTTTCGCATTCAAACAACTACATGACACTTCACGGACCTGAAATTGTAAAGAAAATGTTTATGAATTTAAATAAAACATTTTATTGCTTTCCTAAAGTCAACATCATTCACATTTACTTCACAAACATCATAAACGCTCTCTACACATCTTACACAATATGTCAGAAAGTCTTGTCTTATCTTAAAAGTGAAAAACAGATCCTATGTGACCTATTTTCTGTTTGACCTCAAGTCTTATTCTGTGCTATTACTAGTATTTTACAGAAACCTCTACACTCAAAAAATGGTTGCTGCTTGTTCAAACACAATTCTTGAGTTTTTTGTGGGGTTTATTTTGTTTAATCCACTTAAATTTGTAAAAACAATTAAGCTAACTTAATATATTTGTGTTCTGATATCAAAGATATTGTACGTAACTCAGCTTTTTGTTACAGTGTATTAGCATAACTAACTGCACTATCTTCACAAATTATCATCACAAACTATATGTTTCAGTGGTAATTTAAAATTTGGATAAAACATTTTTAGCCATAGGATAAACTTTCATTGTAAAATCACACAGGGCTACTAAGTGGCTGGACATTTATCAGTAACTGCAAGCTACTATTAATGACAGCATGTACTCAGTTACAAAAGATAGTTACCTCAGGTGACTGTACAGTCAGATAGGGTTATATTGGCTCTTTGTAGTCTGTTTTGATGTGTTTAATTCAGACACGGGCAACAGTCATGTGCCAGTCCTGTAATAAAAAACACTGCAGAGTGACAAAAGTTGTTGATAACACTCCAAGTCTTCAGTTATGCCTAATCAACACATAAGTGGGACATTATAAAAGTGTAAATTATTAATGAAACATGTCCAGCATACACATTTTGATTGCGTTTTAAAATTAGTTTAGTGTTTGTTTTAAAGTCATAATACCTGCCACTTTATTTATTGTAAACTTACAGATATACTGACATTGCGTGTGTGTTTGTATACATTTTTATAAAGCAAGCACTGCTTTTCTGTGATATTGTCACGAATGATGTTCGAATTATACTTTTAGATTCAGCTTTGTTTTGTGCCTCATGTTTTGTTCCAGGACTCATGAATTTTAACAACCTTGTTAAAAGAAATGAATCCAGTTTTTTTGTTGTTGTTTGCCATTATATTTCTAACATGGTGTATTATTTATTTGTGTCATATCCATCTGATTATAAATTACAAGCTCCAGTTCCAATGTAACAGTTCTCATGAAAAATGATTGGTGTTTTCGAACAGATATTATATTGCAATATTAATGCAATTGCAGAATATATTCGGCATTCATTTTTGCAACATTTGCCTGTGTAATTTTTGCATCAGTTGTTTTTATTTTACGTCAACAAATGATGGTTTGCATGAGCTCTTTTTAAAAGAATATTCAAAGCTTTTTATGAAAAGGCTCATTTTACAACTTAGCTGGGTTTCACTATATTGGAATCTGTTTAGCCAATCTGGCGGGTTCCATTTAGCTTAGCTTAGCATAGATCATTGAATTGGATTAGACCAGGCATGTCCAAACTCGGTCCTGGAGGGCCGGTGTCCTGCAAAGTTTAATTCCAACCCCAATCAGACACACCTAGGCTGGCTAATCAAGCTCTGCTTTCTACAGTAGAAACATTTTTGCAAGTGTATTGAGGCAATTTGGAGCTAAAATCTGCAGGACACTGGCCCTCTGACTTTGGACACCTCTGGATTAGACCATTATCAACCTCCTCATAAATAACTAGAGACTGAATGTATGGATAAAAAAAAAATGGATTAAAAAAAACTCAACTGTTAAACTCCAGAGGGATGAGCCTATCTTTCAAAAAAGTGTTCTGTTAAAAATTATTCAGATGCTTATGAACCTTCAATTAAATATAATAAATTGAGAGGAACTTGCTTGGCAAGAATCAGTAAATGTTAGGAGAGGAACAGAAAAATAAAGTTTACGTGTACATATTTATATTAATTTATGTTAATCTTAAGTTCACCAGCCCATCAAAAAGTTTTAGATACTAAAGAGGGATGCTAGTTTAATCATGACTTCTGATGTTACCTCCTGGTATACACATAATAACAACCATTGCACCTTTTTTTTTACCATGATTTACAGAAGGCACTCACTAAACTGCCTGCTCTAACAAATGGTTTTAAATAATGTCTGTTAAAGTCATTTAAAAAAATAACAGTTTTTTTTTTAAATATGGTTTGCACTACACAACTTTGTTGGTTAACAAAAAATAAAAATCTAAAAAAATCAAACACACATAATCCTGTTGCACTAATGTTGGTCTTGCACTTCATATTATCAGATTTTTCATAGTTTCATGTATTCATTCCAGTAATTTGTAATTATAGTAATTAGTAATTATATCAATGTATATATATGATATACTTGGTAGAGGTTGATATTTTAGAAATTATGGAATGTGTTTAAAAATGTAGTGGTTCTTTGGTTTTTCTCTTAATGCATCAAGCTCAGACAGGGGGTCAGGAATATCAGAAGAATATACTTTATTGGAATATTTTCCAAAAAAGCAGAGACGTCCATAGGCAGACCCATCCCTTGTCTCACTCCAGGACAATCTAATGTCCCTAACATTTGCTATCCCCTTTATCCTGGCTTCCTCCCACCTTTGTGTTTTCACAGTTGTTTACTGGTTCAACAGGCCTCTGTATTCATTCCAGTAATTTGACCATAAACTGATATATCAATGTATGTATACGATATATTTGGTAGTGGTTGATATTTTAGAAATTATGGAATGTGTTTAAAAATGTATAGAGTGTGTTAACTAGCAACATTAGGAGTTAAGAAATGCAATCCAAACATTTTTTTCTTTGTGGGGCAGTTAAAGGGTTAATAGTTTGTATACCAAAAATCTTGATAGGCATACGTAGAATAAGTATCACTGATGACATAATAAAAGAAACTATATATAGATCAAATTGCAGCTCCAAGATATTTTTTATTGTAAGTGTCTTTAAATTAAATGTATTATGTATTAATATACATTTATTGCATACAGTTTCATACAAGTACAGGTCAGCAAGTATGTTTCCATTTTTGCATAAAAATATGTTATGCTGATTTAAAACAGTGTTACACTGAATTACATTCTGCCAAAATATTGATATTGCAATGTTCTTATTATTAATCATTAAAAATAGTTTTAATAATGTTCCTGACAGCAAAGCAGATGCTATAAAAATTTAACATTTCATTGTATTTTTTGACACTCAGACATTCTTGCATAACTTCAGCTTGTAGCTATGTTCATGAACACTTCCTGTTATCCAATATTATTGACATTATCAGGGTGTGTATTTTTGGGTGCACAGGATAATCCCTGTCAGCTTGAGACATCTTGGATGAGGTATTACTAACCATTCTTGAAATTCGCAAAACCTCCCCGGGCTCCAGACTGCACCTTTTGATACTGGCTCTAGATTTACTCTTTGTGTTCACATGGACATCTAAAATACACCAATAACACAAATATAAAATTGCATTATATTATATTACTTAATTATAATACATTATTACTTTATTATATTTGTCAACGCTAAACATTTCTCATTTGACTTGAACATAAATAACTGACTCTGTATATTGATACTGTAATTTAGTGTAATGGATCACACTGTATTGTAACAAAGAATTTGCATTACACCGAAAAATGAAAAGATTTCTCTGAATGACAAAATCTTACTACAGCTTATATTTCAGGCTGCAGGGTCTTCAGGGCCCCTTCTGATGATGTCAACAGTATGGACTGTATGGAAAAAACGCTAATAAAAAAACAGAAAGAAAGTAGTAATTTTTAAACTTACTTTAACATGTATTTCATAGCAGACTAAATTAACACAAAATATTTTATGTTTTGT